AAAAAGAACAGGAAAAAAAGATTGAAAAATTGGAAGTGACTGGAATGGCGTACTCTATCAATTATAGATTGCATTCGCACTGTTTCCATGAACGTTTTTATTGTTTCTTACAAATATTAAATTAGGTTGTTAATTGCATCTATTCATGAGAAGTATCAGAAATATTTTTATTTCTCATGAGCAGAAAGGTACAACTGTACAAAATGAAGTCACATTTTTTTTCACCGTAAATTTTCTAACTCCGCATACCAATCTGGTAGTCTTTACAGTTATTTTCTGCATAGTTTTCAGTGTTACTTGTTTCTTAATAACGTTACTCACTTGGCTTTTACCTAGGGATATTGACAGAGAGGTTAAAATTTGTTATAGAGTAAGGCTTTTATTTCTACTCCATTTTTATGTCTGAATCAATGTTAAGATTGAGCAAGAAGCATCCATTTTATTTTGGAATATTCAATTAGCACTGTAAAATTGGTTGCAGATGCAATCCAGCGACAACTGATTCTGTTGAAGGAAGATGAATGATAAGTGTGGTGACATTGCATCACGCAGTTTCTATTTATTCTGCTAACCTTGCCACAATTCTTCTCAATTCTCCTGCTTGTATTTCTAATTCTCGACACTCTTGAAGGAATCCTCATTGTGAGAGCGCATGCATTCACGCATCCCCGGGATATCTTCATTGACCTCTTCCCACTAATGTCTCCTGCCTGCTGCGCGTATATGCACTTCGCCATTCTTGCATTTTCTGTCGCATTGCCCCTCTTAAATCATTGCACACATAGAATTATGTAACAATGCTATATAGCACTCCTATTCGATGGCTGTGACAATGTGAATGCCTTTTCAGCATTCTTGTCCATCCTTGGCCATTTCATACTACTAATCTCTCCCTTCCCTGAGAAATATTCTCGATTGTTAAAGTCGTCCAATCGCAGGACGTAGTTGAGTGGAACCAAAGCATTGCTGCATATATTAGCCAATGCTTTGTTATACTTTACACGCTGTTAGCAGTGGAAATTAACCATTATAAAGTGATGATGGTAACAGTGATGAGAATTCTGAGATTTTCTGTTATTTGAAATTATTTGGCACCGTAAAGAGAAATTAAGGTCAATTAGAGCACTCAGTTTCGTTAAATGACTTTCTGTATTAACTTTGATTAAAAATTTTTACATAAAATATCAAATAATTTCTCACTATTATTCAAAGGTTATTTAAATTTCTTGACTTCCAAATACTTTAGAATCTTTAACATTGTTATGCCATATCAATCAATGTATCGACGATAGGGAGCTTATACAAAAAATCATTCAACGGTCTCTTGAAACGGCTAACCGTTAAATGTTTGGATCGAATTGTTGCTGTGCAAATTGATCGATGACTTTTTAATTTGTTGAGGGAAACAAAAACAAAAACCAAAGAATACAATTAATCTTGTTAAGAGAGGATAGAAAGGGCTTCTCGCAAAGCAAAGCAATTCAATCGTCTCCGAGGACAGGAAATAAGTATACGTGTGTGTCTCAGGTAAGTGCAACTTCTATGCATCTTCGCATGCAATCTTTCTCCTCCCGACCATATCGCCTATTACCGTTGCTGTTCTTGACATGTCATTCTTGAATTGCTTTACTTTAACCGATTGTAGTATACATTCTCTTCTCTTCTTTATTTCATCCGTTAATTATCAAAAGTTTATAAATCTATTTTTTTTCAATGTATTCTTTAGAACTCTCCAATAGAGCTGATACTTTTGGTATGGGAATGATGTAAATGGAAAGGTTGACCTTCACGGTAGTGAATGATAGATTGCTCAGCAAATAACGCCACTAAAAATTTGCGATATTTCAAATCTGATCGATTGAAAATTAAAATTTCACAAACTTCACTTTTCTGGATCCTCATATTTTTAATTTAATGATATATGTTTGCATAATATAATGAAAGTTAGCCTTTGTATGATATTGAAACAGAATCTGTTGATGAGAACCAATGATCGATAAGTACAGCAATCGTGAAACGGAGAGAGGAAAGTGTCACCCCTTGGGAAGTAAAATGGACAGCTAAGGTGCATTGACAGATTGAAAAAAAATTATGATTATGTTGTTTTAAATACTAGCGAAAATAAAGATGAAAAAACAAATAGCACGAATTAGTATGAAAATGAAATCTAAAATGAAATGATTATATATATATATATCACAGAAAAATGCTGAGCGATAGCTACAAATATAAATTGAACGATAGCAATTGGTAAAGCAAATCAGAAAAAGTTGAAAACAAAGTTTAGCTCATCCCACTTCTCTTGCTGCTCAATAAGCAAAGTAGCTGCGTGGAGATAAATTTTTGCATGAAATTGACCTTTAGACATGAATAATTTGTGACCTTATACATACATCATTAAAGTAATGGAATTCATTACAGAGCTATTTCTTGCATTACTTGTTTGAAACAAAGTAAAAAAACCAAGTGATGGGAAAATTTCGACTAATTTCTTAATGAATGTTAAATTCTTAATTAATTTTAAACAGAATTTGATTTTATTTTCACTTTTCCTTTTTCTTGTGTAATAATAGCTGATATTCCACCAGGCTAGTCTTCATTGCTCATTCAACAAACATAACATTTGGTATGTTGCATATTTGATGTAGTTATCAATTATCTATACCGAGAATTAAGCTAATTTTGCTTCAATTAATTTCACTTTTTCTTTTCTGAATTTGCTCCATTGCTAATTTTGATAAAATTAGTTTCAATTATTCACAAAAAAAGTCATTTTGATTTGCTAATTTCTAAGGAATATAAGAAGTGAATCTTTTTCGTAATCCTACCAATATATGTCGTGGAGAATTTTTGGACTTTATCAATCCTAAATTTTATTTTCTTTCTTGTTTATTAGCTAGATTAGGTCTATATGACTGAATTTCGTTTATCAAATGGATCCCTATAATAATGGCATTTGTTGATATCAATGATAACTTTGGATGTTACAGAGGAAAGGAGAAGCAGGCTCTGTAGCACAAAGAATGTTTGTATGAAGCATTACCTGAACTGCTCCTCTCGCTTTTTCTCAACCCAAAAATATTGTTGATATGTGGAATGATGAATCATGCTGTCATGATAAGCAGGTGCTATGTTTCATAAACTTTTCCTCGTTTCTTTCGAACTGTTTTGATGAATTCCTTCGAGAATCATATGCAAAAATATGTCGTAGTAGTAAATTAGTTGTTGACTATAAATAACTGATCATTTAGGATTTGAATGATTCTGTGCTACTTATGGGATGATTAATTTTTTAGTGATAGATCTTAACAGTTTATCGGGAATCCGATTATCGTAATGGTTATATATTATAGAATGATCGCGGTAAAGATCTTTCGTTATTTGTAAATTTTGTTGTTTATTGTCAGCTAGTTATTTCATATAACTCCCTAAATGATGTAAATTTAATTTAATGAAGGAAGATAAGATCATTTTACAATGACTGTGTTCTGTAGTATTCATATCAATCTAAAACAGCTTATATTAATAAAATAATCTCAAAGATTTTCGTCCTTTATTTATTTTTTCCTACTTATCCATTCAAATAATGTTAATTTTTTTTCTTTGTCGAATTGCTTTATCCAGTTAGTAGTTTAGTGTTGTGAATTCAGTGTAATTAGAGAAAGCTATACTTGTGGAGTTGATACTTAATCGCAGAGGAAAGATTTCAGCTGATAAATGTATTTCAAATGATTTGTATCCGTAAATTCGACCTGCTGTTCTAAATTCTCTTCCTTCCTGCTAGTAAATATTTATTGTTGTTGGTTGAATCACTCTCAGTTCTTCATGTGCTTTTATTATGATTATTAGAAATCCAGCTTTCTTTGAGACTTTAAGTTAGCATCTGATTAGAAGCATCTAATTCCTCAAATTAAGATCACATTTTCATAGTAACTAGAAGAAGTGCTAAAATCTAAATTCTGCTAATTACACTCTAACCTTAATAAAGCTTCATGTTAAATACCATCATTTAATAAAAGTAGGAAACATATTCTGTAAAAGTATATAAAAAATGGTTGAACATTATTCTTTTGAAGCGTAAGCCGTTTCCGGATTGCTTATTAATGGTTTAGTCCTTCTTTTTTTGTTTATCCATTCATTTGTTAATTAAATAAGAGTCTGATTAGGGGATGCTGAGAGAGAATAGACAGAGAATAATAAATGGATAAAACAAGCTTATTACTCACTGAAGCATATTGCTCTTTTTTAGTTTCTCAAGAATTTTTCATTTTTTTTTCACGGAGGATATTAAAAGGAGCAATAGGAAGAAATAAGTGTAAGAGAATTATTCAAAATTTCTCTCATTCTTCCGAAAATAAGATAAAACGATTTTGTTTGTAGTATCCTGAAATTTTATTTGACGACTTGGTTTTTAGAAATGTTTTTTTTTTTTAAATTATTAAAATTTGCTGCGAATATTTTCATACATAACATAACAGAGATCCACTTTATCGTAACTGTTCCTTCCTTCTTTACTCGAATGTAGAATTCATTGTAATATGAAAAAGATAAATCAGCTTTCTAAGGATTTACTTAATTTTTATGTGAAATTTTACGTGGCTTTATTTCAAAGTTGTTTTTCCAGTGATTTTTACTTTTTTTCCTGCTATAGAATTCGTGGTTCATTGCATTATTTAGCAATTCACTCGCTGTTTAAAGCAACAATTTCATTTTGATTTCGTTGTTTTTTTTTTGTGGAGATTTTCCGATTTTGAAATGTTCGACCGTGAACATTTTGTAAATGTATCAATGAAATGCTTCTTCTTTTGATTGATATTAATTTGGATTCCTCTTCTGCTTCTTTTGAGAGATTTGGATGCAATCCTATCGACGCATTCATTTCATAGGTAAATCGGTACAAAAAACGAAATCTTCATTATTCGTTTGCGTTGTTAAGTTAACAATTAATGAAAGAATATTTTTGGAACAGTTTTATTTGCAGAGAAATTGAACTAATTTGTATGGCAGTACAAGCAACTACTATTGAAACAGTTACTGTAGTGAGACCTCTTAAGGTTTATCTTTATTTCACTTTTCATAATTACAGTTATGCAAATTTCTTGGAACGATGGTCTCAGACAATTTCTATGCACATAACTGCATTACATGGAAAATGCATGAGACCTTTTCAATACAATGGTATTGCCGATTCTGATTTCGAATCAGCTCATCAATTGATTTCAGTTCCTATCAATCGGTTTTTAGGTCATGTGGATGAAGTTGTATACGATTTAATATACGAAATATTTTATTATAACTGGTACTTTTGAAGGGAGTATTATTAGTAAGTAATATGGATTCTCTGGAATCGATTACCTGGAAGATAGAGGGATGGAAGAGAGAAATGATATCAATTCTGCTGATAACACATTCATGGCACTGGCCAGGTGCAAATTTTTTTTTTTTTGGGATATAGACATCTCGCTTTTGAAAACATAAATTGTAGGTGATAGCTTTGGTGTGTCTATTGATTGCATTCATTCTTTTGATATTGTGCTTATCGACGACATGGTGGCTTCGATCAGGTGGCTTCCGAACAGGTTTATGGCTTGAATGTACAGCCTCTGATCAAACGCAGTCAACAATAGCCGGTGGTCCACCGCCTGGAAGGTGCCAAAAAATACATCGACATGCTGGTAAAATCTGTCATTTCGTTTCTATCAAAAAAAAGATATTTCATATGAAAAAAAGTTCCAAACCTTAATACATTATATTAAGGCATTAATTTTTTTTACATAAGTTGTTATGCGACCAATAACGGATGATAATATGTTAGACTTTTTGTAACTCTTTTTAAATGTTAAAAAATGTTAATTACTGCTATTTGTTTAGATGGCATTTCACCAATTGGCATTGTTTCTTTTTATCAAAACTATGCAAAATTTGATGATTTTGTTTAACTTTACTACAGAAAGACGGGTGAAATGAGCTTTAGAAATTAGTTACACTGCGACAGAATGACGTATACTTCCTTCATGGGAATGTCACCACGGTCTCATCATTCATCTATGCTATCCCTCAGTTATACTTATTGATATTCTTGCAAGTATGTACTTGCTTGTTTTGTGAACTTGAAAATTAGATTGAAATCATAAATGCTTACTTACTGTAGAGAGAGGTCGGTATTGTACTTGATGTATTTGATTGGGTAAGGAGATAGATCGATAGATGTTAACAGGAAGATGATATCTGCGGTTTTTTACCGCAGAAGGAAAGGAGAGTGGAAGGATGTGAGTGAGGTTGGTAGGTGCATTCCATGCACATTCCTCCCTTTCCTCTGCTCATTTGTTATTGCTGTTCGGATTTATGCATGTAACAGTGCATGAAAATCCCTTTTGGTTTGAACTACTTTGAACTTTGTTCTAGCATTTCATTTATTTCAAAAATAAATGAAATTATCATAAAAACCTTTAAAGTACATTTTAAGCTGAGTGTTCTGTCATAGAATTGGTATATTATCGATTATTTGGAAAATTTTCCGCACTTTTTCCTATAACTCACTTATTGCATGAAGGAAATGCGGGAAGTCTTGTAAAATGATGGGTATGGAAATTTTTGGATCGAAGCCAATCCTAACAAAATTCTCTCATTTTGAAACAGCAAATTCTGTCGTATACTTTTATGCAGCCAGGGTTTTTTTGTTCATGAATTGAAAATATGAGAAAGGGAGAAGAATGGCGAGCTATTGAAGCTGAATTTAACGGATCGCAAGCAATTATGGGAAGGAGGAAAAAGGCGAGGGATGATGTTCTCTCATCGCCGATCAAGACCTGATAAAAACTGTCTGTCATTCTTTCTCAAGAAGCATCGCTAGCTACCATTCTTTCTACCTCATCCAATTTCAACCTATTTTCTTTGCAAAATATTAATCATCCCTACCTACTATGAACATTATCCATTTTCCGCATTTTCATCTCTTATTTTTACAAGAAATTGATTCGGAAGTACCTCAACTTTCAAGTTTTTTGCTTAAAAGTTGAAATTTCCTCATGTTTTGGCAATAACTTCAAGAGAACTAGTTTAAGAAATTTTCAATTTTCCCTTCCAGCTTACTTTTTGTTGTTTAACTCGAATCTTGACGTGAAGCAAATGCTCTTTCAATCTTTGCTAATAGAAAGTTTGCGAACTTTCAATCCCATATTAGGTATTGCTAATATTCCATTTCTATAATACTCCCATGAATTTCATATTTATTTACCTAATTTAATCTATTAATAAAATCCTGCAATTCTTTTTTCGATAACGATTTTTTGAATGCAGTGTTCATTAACTTTGCTAATTGCATCTTTTATTTTTCCTCAATTAATACGAACTGTAAATAGTTCCAATTAAAGGTTCAATTCTTCAGCATCCTACTGTGTGCTTTCATGATTTTATTCGATAATAGCGATGCATTCGCTATAATCGCACTTAAAGTTTAATTGCAATGTATAATATTGTCCATTATAAAGTTATATAAGATGAGCACACATGCTGTTGGACCAGATTGTTCGTATTTTACTGTTATAATCATTTCATACGGGTAGTTTTAGTTTGTCCAAGAATTTTGGGATATTTGAAAGAGAAGGTATATGGCATAAGTCAAGTTGGGGACGATTCTATTATAAATGTTACTACTTGAACAATTTGCAAAAATGGATACAAATAGTAGCGCTTTTTTGTTATTTCATGAAATTTTTCATTCTTGCTTTATGGTTTATACATGCAAACAGCCAACATCTCCAGGCAAGTTTCCGTTTCTTTTTTTGCACTCTCTTCCTTACTGATCGATGCATCGTTTATTCCGTGGCGTAATATATTCATCAGGCGACTGATACTTCTTACTGATATGTGATTTTCCCTCAGCTGGTATCATCAAATTTAAAATTCTTTCCACATGTTAGTGTCTACATTTTTTCACTATGGATGTTATGTGATTTAAAATGCATTTCAAATAATGTGATTGCCTAAATATTTTCCATTTTTTCTCGAAGCGTGTGAGAAATTGGAATGGAATCCATTAGTATTCAATTAAATTTATAGATGAACTGTGCATTTTTTTTCGGAAATTTACTATATTTATAACCTGTTATTTGAATAGTTCCTTAAGTCGAGTAATTAATGAGTTTCGACCCATGAACTATCAGATTATTAATCACCAGTATCTTAAAATCCAAACAAAAGAGGCAACATGGAACTTTTTCTAGCAGTAATCTATCAAAATTTATAAAATTGATTTTCTTTCTGTTATCCAAATTGTAACTTTACTGCATTTCAGCTTATATCAAATTGGTGGCAGCATTTTTGATTACCGCAGCAGTGTTAACATTCTTTGCGTTCTTTCTTAATATATTCGGTTTACGAGCACAAGATTTGCATAGAAAATATGTTTTCTATAAATTTGCCACTTATATTTCTTTGTTGGGAGGTGAGTTTGATGTTTCTTTTGTCAAATAATCATTTTATATACATTGTTTTTTATAAGTTTAGATTTGTCACTTTATCGGAAAATTTTTTTAAAATATATATTTTATCGGAAAATATTCATCATCGTCATTAATTGACATCAATTTCATCAAATGTTTCAAAATGCAAAAAAATGAGAAATTTTAACTCACCAAATTTTAAATATTTTATTTCTCTTGATAGCAAGCGACAATGAAAGTTCTTTCCTAAATTAAATAATTTTAAAAGTTTTCAATTTTTGAAATTTGTCAAATATTCATTGTCGCATTTCAGTATTCCTAGAGCTCGTATCTTTAATCGTGTTTCCTGTATGTTTTTACGTTGAGATGAAGAATTTCGGTTATCGAAATTGGGAATTCGACTGGTCATACGGTGTTGCCTGGGGTGCAACGTTGTTTGCATTCGGCGCATCGCTGTTATTGATATGTGATAAAGAACATGAAGAGGTGTATTTCAAGGAGAAAACAATATACAATCCACCACCAGAGTTAAAATAGTTTTCGTCATAAAGATAAAATTTTCACAAACTTCATTTGACAAATTCTTAGGAATTTATCGTAGTAAACAATGATAGCGTTGACAGTTGTGATTAAAAGGTTTGATTAGTTTCCTTGGTAAAATTATGTCCTAAATTTTTAAGTGTTTTTGGACTGAAAAATTTTCAAATTTCCGGAAAATTAAGCTGAGAAATTGTTTTTTGGGAGCAAAATTACAACACCATTTGACATATAAATCTTTTTTTGTTTATGTTTTTTGATTGAAATAGCATTTTTAGTTTTCATTTTATCGTTTGATCAGTGATATGCGCATTTTTTGTGATAAATAATTGAACTCATTGAATGGTGACAAATTTTATTGAAAATCCTACTAAATGCCTTAATTAAGCTTACTGAAATGTTTTATATTTTGCGTTTTTTTTAATGGTTATTGAGCTTACTTTTTTTGAATTTTATTTCGTTGTATAATCTATTAATTACAGAACTCATACAAAACATTTTTTGAAAAAATACGAAGTGGTTTCAATAATATTTTCTAAAGGCACCAAGATCAGCATGTCAAGATCCCATCAGATTATGATGAAAAGTGAAATTTAGTTTATGATTCAGAAAGCAAAATTCTTTTTCTTCTTTCCTTAATTTGTCTGACTGACGAAAAATCTTTTAAAAAGTCGATATTTCAGACATTGATGCTGTAAGAAAACACTTTCTGTTCACTATCGTTTTTCTGTCAGTTGTTTCTAAAAATAAGTTTTTAACTGAATTTATGATTTATGGTAAATTTTGTTGTAAGAACAATGTCTGGTGGATATGCAGTATTTATATATAAATGGATTATAGTGTCAAAGATGTACTGTTTGAGAAATAATTGTTATTTTAAAGGTTAAATTCAAAAATTTTTTTTGTTGCGATAAACGATGAATCGAAATTTCTCTACAGTTAAAATATTCTCGACTGTTTTTGAAATTCATAATTGTGAGATGACTTCATTGATAGCCTGGGGTATTGACGTGTTTTTCACGATTCTGTACTTTTGTTTCTGTGTCTTTAAATTTTCCGTTCAGAGTTCTTGAACACTGTAAACAGTCTTGTGAGAGAAAAGATTTCATGCCCGACATTGGCTCCAAGGAATTTTAATAAGTTGGTTTGTGTTTTCTCTTATCAAACGTCAACTTTTTTTAAACTTATTTCTTGATGCGAAATATGAACCGATGAAAGTTAGTGATATATATGGCGATGGAGAAAAATCGAAATGAAATGAAAGAGGAGGAATAAACCGGAATGTATGCATTTGTCAATTTTAACGATTACCAATAATGGTTATCTTTTCTTCATTGATTTATTTTGTGATTTGTTCATGATTGTCGATGTAGAAATAACCAACAAACTTCATTCTTGATCATTCAAGCGGTGATTTGATTAGCTAAAAATATGCTAGCATTATGTCATTCTCTGTTAATTTCAATTTCTTTTAATATAGAGTGGTTAGGAATTGTGAAGATGAAAACAGTGTCACTTGAGATAATAGTTAATTGAGTTATGTCCACCATACTTCATCGCTGAAATACATTAAACATAATTCCGTAAATGTTGTACAAAAGTACAACATTTACCGAAATTCATGGACTTTCCAAGGAAGCTAAAATTATATAAAAATCATTTTTTTTGAAAATTCCAGAAAGGAAGATGGATTTCGGTATAAGTTACGACTACTTCGGTTGTCCGGTATATGAACAAATTTAAACCACTAATGTTTGCTTAGATGCTAACTGTAGAAATCAGTCAATATTTCGCACCTTTCTATTGTAGCACCATTTCACTGTATGAGAGTGATTTGAATGATATGTATATGAATTTATCAATTAATGATTCAATAAAACATAGTCACAAAAGCAGTAAGTGACAATAGGTGAGTAAGGACTAAGGCATGTGTGGCAGACATTTGTCATTCTTTTAAAAATCACATAAATTCCCTTAGCAATTTGAAGATTTTATTTCAGCCAAACTTTTTTGATCTTTTCTCACCAAAAAGTGGAAAAAAAATGAAAAGAAAGACAATTTGGATGGAAACCATATGTAAATTCATTGAGCAATACGCTTATCACTTAATCAATTGATTACGATTGAATCACTGAATAGTAACACTAAGAACGACACATTTCAGTCATGCAGAAGTGAGAACGGGAAGTTGATAATAATGAATAATAACGGAAATCATTATGAGATTTAAAAACTTTTGAAAAGAACAAGAGAAAAAAAACCAGCAGAATACATGTAATGCCATCAGCTCACATGCAGGGCTTGTCATCTTTGGATTAAACACTTACTAATCGCAGTGATAAGAATTCATAAGATGAAAGTGTAACCCATAGTCATTGATTGATAAATAACGTGAAAATTCGTTGTAAACAATGATATCAGTTTGTTTAAAATGAATTGTTACTAACAGCTCTTTGTTTGAAATACCTTCTATATAAACTGCTGATTTATTCGGTATTGAATCTATTCTGCGACAAGTGAAAATTTAATACATAACTCAAACAAAATTTTCGATCACAATTTTAAAACAAGAACGAAAAGAAAAACGTGTCCCAACATTAGAAAATTAAACAGCAACTTAGAAATAAAAGCAGTATAAAAACAATGTAAAAACAGTGTAAAAATACGCAAATCCACGTAGAAAAGCGCGTGAATGTAATAAAGATGAGTATTAGTAGTGAATAGTTTAATTTTTGAAATCGAGAACTGTAGAAAATGCAAAGAAAAAGAGAAAGAAAAAAACCTGAGCGATATAGTGTACATGAGCAAATGTTTCACAAGACTATTATAATACAATGCATAGAATATTGTAACACCAAAAAAGCTTGTGGCAGAAAAAGAAAATAAATAAAGAAAAAGCTGAAAGAAACAAATGGATAATAACAAAGAAAAGAAAAAGAGAAACAACAAATGCGATATCTTCGAAAATGTTAGCAATAAAATAGATGTTTAAAAGCATATTGGAAACACTTAGAATTACAATTACACTACTGCGAAAATTCATGCAGTAAAATAAAACAAATTTACTTGAACCTTAATAATGATAATAATAATATTAACAGAGACAAGAGCGAAATAAATATAAGACAAACATGCAGACAATTAAACGACGCAGAGGCTGTTTTAAACATAGTGTATTACGCAATAAATGTACACTAAATAAAATTATATAACAATGTATCCAATGTTTGGAAGAATTTGAAAGATATGTTGAAAAATTTTTGCAATTCAGAAACACAGACGAAATTAAAACCAAACAACATAAATGCCGTAAATCTATATATCCACTTTTATACTATGAACATTTATTCTTCTTTCCAACCTTCGGCAAATTCAGATCCTTCACATTCTGAAGTCCCATAGAACCACTCTTCCACATTCTCATATGTTTTTGTTGGTCGTTCCTCTAGTAATGCTTCACATAACTTGCAGAAATGAAATCTGAAAACACTGCCAATTCCAAGAAACATGAGATTTATATGAATTATATCTATCTTAAAACTGTTTTAAAAAATCGATATTAATTAAGTTTTATAATGACCTTGTTTCTGCAAAAAAATGCAAACCTATATCCAGTATTCTGGTACGCTCGAACCCAACCATCACGACGCCATTTAAAATACTCCAAATAAGCTGTTTTATTAGACATCAGCGCAATCAAATAATTGGCCATGGCTTGAGCACTTTCAAAATCATCCATAGGAATAAAGGACAGCGGCGGTATCAAGCTTAAAATTTCGTTCTTACAAGGACAAGAAAAAGTTACAACACAGTACAAATACGGAAATCATCCAAAAATATCATGTATTCTTCCATCTTTGTATTCGCTATAACAAAATTTTAATAAGCGATGAAAAGAAAGATGTGAACTAACTTTTCATATGTTTTCCGTCTCATAACAATGGGAACACTTGGTAGATGATATCGATCGAAATATTTCTCCGTAACATAATTCTTACAAACAGTATTTTCAATTGCAATGTAGAAGAAATTCATTGCACCAAGGTCTTTTTCACATTCAGAAGCTCGTTTACATGCATCACGTTTATAAGGATTATCGGCACACGCCCCATATTTATCTACCATTATGTATCTAAAATAATACTCTTTGATTGGTCACTTATACTTCAAACAATGTTCTTTTTCGAAGGCTAAACAGTAACTTTGAGAATGAATAATCAGAATGAAACCTATATCTCAACTGTACTTGATGAAAAACCAAATTATTTCTGGAGAATTGCAAATCTTGATAGTTTCATTTCTGGAGAACTGCAAATCTTGATAGTTCGGAAACGTAATGAAAACTCACTTTCCAAGTTTCTCAACAGCTAACTCTCGTTTCGAAATTGTATTGCAATTTGATACCAACCAAAATATTGCACTAGTTTTATTTTTTAATATTGTTTTTTCATCATAAGGCAGGTTTTCGGACTTAAAACCAAGTCCTTTATTTATTTCAGGACTAATCCAATAACCACCGTAAACCCACGGTACATCTGAATCATATCGATATGTCATTGTCCAGTTAAAAAAATTACCTGAATAATAAATTAGATAATTATATTAAGCAACGTTGGTATCAAAAAAATAAAAAAAACGTAGAAATAAATAGGTGAGAAACAAGATTCACAATGAATACTAGACTTTGAACATACTAAGTTTTCGAATTTTTCCTTTTATAACTTAAAATGTAGAGAAAAGATCCCACAATGTTTCATCTCTTACAATCTGGACAGATGAGAACAATTTAATCTATTTCATAGACTGTGACAACAAGAAAAACTAACGAGGTGCATGCAACGTATCCCTTTGCCATAATTTATAAGTTGGAGGTGCTTCTACCGTCAAGAATACATAACGTTGTGACGGAGACCTCTTTTTCGGTAAATCGCTCAAGCGAAAATCTTCAGTCATAAAGTGGAAAATGACAGCGTCAGCGCTCTCAACCAAAGATCGATCCGTCGTAATTACACACTTATCCTGAATAAATACTTGAAACTTCACCAAGCACCTCTCCAATAAAAACAGGCCTTATTCTATCTGCTGTCTTTAAGTATCAACAATAATGAGTTTTCCATGTCCCCAACTTACAAATTAATTAAACCATCGCTTTTTTCATAATCATTATGCCTGCCTGCTCTCGTATTTTAAAGGATCGATCTTACAGCATAAAATGAATCAAATCGCTGCTTACCTTTAAATCAGGACACTCATTCATGAGGTTCAAACGATTTTCAGGCAATTCGCTAAAGAAAGTTGTCCACATGAGCATCAACTTCTGTTTTATTTTTACGATTTGTTGTTGCTCATGTGAATAAATAGTAGCCCGAACTGTCTGATGACGAGAGAAAAATAAGTCTAGCACTACTCTCGAAACGGCGAAACAGAAAAAACAGACAGTAATAAGACCAGTAAAAATTCGAAAACGTGACTGGATCATTCCTAAATCACACACCAGCCGCCGATGCTGTAAATTCTTCTATAAAGTATATGATTTGGCTTAGTTCTAAAACAAAAAAAAAATTCAAAACCATGCGCTACATATATAAGAAGTAATTTGATGTCGTCATCCAATTAGCGACCACAGAAACAACACAATATAAAAATTAGATGTCCTTAAGCAACTAGGTTTATTGACTCTTCTCCCACAAAAAAAATGTCTATTCTAGATTTAGTTGATATGCTCCATAAATTAAACTTCTGCCAGCAATCTAAAATGCACTGAAAGTTCGTCAGAATAAATTATACACAACAAATTACAGTGATTGTGAATAAAAATTTATTTGCGAAATATTGACATCTGCTTACGTATTTTTCAAGATTTCTAAACTAAATTTTTCTACGACGCTTTTTTACTGAACGAAACAATGCTTTTATGACAAGGATATGAATTAATCAAAACTTAGATTACAACGACGAACAGACTTCATATTCCCGAAAACCATATATCATCACATTTTAAACAAAAATAATTTACAAAACCATCTAAAACTAAAGTTAAATACCGCTGTTGCAATACTATTAGCGATATTTCATTAAATCTGATTTTTCTGTTCTAAGAACTTTACTCATTGAGTCGCTATTATCCACGAAATCCAATTGGTCGTACCTGAAATGACAAGCATGTGATAGATGTAACAAAGTAAACATTTAAAAAGTAATTTCTAATGATGATACTCTTCAAATTGCTTTAAGAGATAGTATCATCCACATCTAGTTTCTAGCTCGCATATTTTTAAATATCACATGGACCCTATTACATCCGATCAGATGTGAGAAAAACAAACATTGTTGGTTTATACTGTTTCAGAAATGAATTTTGGAATCCAAATTCAAGAAATCATTAACACCCTATAAAATTATTATGTGCGATTTAGCGATGTATAAAAGAGTTTTTATTATAACGAATATTACAACAATCGATAAAAAAACTTGCAAGTCTCCACCGATACCAATGGATTTGACCTAAAATTTAAAACCCTTAATATGACATTAATACATACTTTGTAGCAATTGTGTGATTGTTTGGTTTAAAGAAACCGGTTCGTCGCAATTTTTCACCTCGATATCCTAAACCCCTTCTTTCACTGCTAGTTTGAGCACCACCGACTTCTTCTATCTCCATAGAAATAGTTTCGATACGTCCCAAATTATGTGGACCAAGACCTAATCCGGGAGACCAACCATAGCTGAAATAAAAGTCATAGTTGAACATAAAACTGCATAAGCCTGCATGATAGATATCTTTTATTAGAAACTCGATATTAATTTATAAATTCACTATCAAAACCTTTTCATGATTTTACTGCCGATTCTCTTCGTATGGACCTCAAATTGACCGAAGCCGATAGTAGATGAAGGCCTTTCAATGCTTTCGTAATCTCTTTTCCTTAACTTCTTTTTGAAAACTGAATGGACAACTTCACCAGATCTGCAAAAAAATGAAGATTTGATTAAGAAAGAAGTTTTTGATTAATTTTACATAAAACTAATTTTACATTTTTCAAAAAAAAGAACTGGCTTCGGATAAATGATACTGGAAAATTCATAAATACTTAGAGTGAAGAGAAAGGAAAAAATCTATAAATTCACTATCGGTTTCCCTCATCAATTTCTTTAACAGTGGACATTTATTTTTCATACATTCTTTAATATAAGAGTTTTTTTTTACGTCGTAATTTATGATATAATAACTTATCTTGCAGAAAAGTTTAAAAAGTCTTGGAAATTAGATTAACAGATCTTACCTTAATCTAGAGTTTAATATGTCAAAACAAAAACGAAAACAGAAATATCTGTAAAGCTTTTTCCCTCACCTTAACTTCTGATCCTCCATCATTTCCACTGATTGCTTTGCATCTAAATCACCATCTTTTCGATCATAATAAATAGAATAATCAACATCCCAATCATCAGCCCATTTCCAATCGCTATCTGTCCCTTCTTCCAATTCTTTCCAAAAAAATGAGTCCATGTACCAAACAAGACCTGGTCCTCCCTTCTCCCATATCACCTGTAAAAATACTGATTTTTTAGCTACAGTTTGCAATCTTAATTATAACTTCAACAAGGGCTTGTGAGTCTCCCTTGAGGATATGAATCCATACACAATTGAGATATGCTTTCAAAACTATACTTCTTGCTCTGTCTCATACTTTCTTGGCTTGATACGTTTTTGTTCCGTAACATCATTGTGAAGAGCTTTATGACTGCAACAAACATACTATCACTCCAAAACAGCTTAGCAAAGACAAAATATGTGAATTAAGAAAAATTGATAGTTGTGAATCAAAATGAAAACGAAATTGTAACATACAACCTTAAATAAAAGTAAAGGGAAATGACATTATACCTTCAAGAATCAAAACCGAAAACCTTACCGCTCCCACTCCTCACAATGATCATCGTTGTCCTCTAGTTCACTTTCATTCTCCAGTTCAAATTTACTAACACTGTCTTCCGAAGTGCATGAATTTAGATCCAGAGGCAAAGATGGAATCGTTTCTTCTAAAAATAGTAGCTAGAACTTTTAACAGATTATAGAAAAAAGGATGATCTACTTTCAAATATCTTAATTATTTACCTAAATTTTAAACTGTTTGAAATGACTCTAAGCTGAGAATTACATGTTCTTCTCAAAGCTCTCATTTTCATATCCATATTTCAATACTTTTACGTATGAACGATGAGATAATAAGCTGACGAGATAATAAGAAATGAGATAATAAGCCATACCTTCGCAACCTGCAACAACAGTTTTTTTATTTTCATCGTATCTGAAAAAAACGGCGCCATATTTGCCTACACACCTTTTTGCTTTAATACCCAATTTTGTAAGAATGCTTGGCGGTAATTTACAAAGGCGAATCTAAAATCAATCATTAGCAAGTTAAACAAAATCATACTGAGATTTCACATTACGTGGAAAGTAAGGCTCATAATATAAAAAACCAGCATCACGTACACTTTGGAATTTTGTATTTGTGAGAACAAATATCTCTAATAAAATATCTACCTGCTCAAAAAAAAATTTTGTTGGAGTACCAACGTTTCCAAGAGGCATAAGACTTGGTGGTTTGAGTTCAATAAAGGAACGAAAATCCAAATTTGCTGACACTTGACTGCTATCACCTGATATCTAGAAACGAAGAGGTAATAAGTAAGTCTCACAGTTCCAAACTCAAGAAATCAAAAAAAAGCGATGGGCAGTAAGAAGTGGAACCAACAAATTATTTATAATCAAAATTGACAATCAAAAACAGAGACTAATAAATAGCTAAAAAATGCATAAAAAATTAGCAAGACATAAAAGGGAAGAATTGAAAGAATAAAGTCAGCCAGATCAGTTCTGAACCATCTAGAGAACATAAGGTCTTCTTTGCACTACAATGCTCATATAACAATGGAATTATTGGTATGCATCTGATAGAAAAAAATAAAAAAATGTTGGCAAACAAAAAGAGCAAATTGAAATGATTTCAATAACCTCGTAAGACTTTAGAGGAAAAATAAAACATTTCAACGGCATTTGAAGCCCTTTCTCATCAATCCAAAACTTCAAGTGGTAGCGCCTGATGCAAGCAGCCCGTTCTTTTTCATTTTTAAATGAAATAACGCAGCAAAAATGTTCATATTCCTTGAGGGCGGACGGTTCGTCTACATTACTATCAATCTAAAACACAGAATTTCCGACATGATATTCCAAGCGTTACAAAATCTGATAATCAAAACTCATGCTAGATATTCTTTTCAAATTTAACTTACATGTATTTCGGGTCGATGCCGGTAATGAAAACACTGAAATCGTTCATTTTCAACGTAATGTGAGAAGAAACACCGCAAGTGTCTCGCATGATATGCCTTCGGAATATTGCGGACAATTGCATAAGCTTTAAAAAAAGAAATTTTACGAGTGACTAAAAATGGATCCAACTTTCTGCTAACTTTTACTAAAACAGTTTTCTACTTTTTAGATCAATCAAATGCAAATATACTGCAAGTCCCTTATTTGCATAGCTTTACAAGGATAAAAATAACAAAACGTTTTACCGACCTATGCCAGTTATTCAGCAACCGTAGCTTTCTTAAATTAATATAGAGATTTAAGTATAAACATAAAATACGGTTTTTAATAATTAAATTGATTACATCTTCTTGTAATGAATATTTGTGGAAGTGAGAGAGATCGAAAACTCTCGCGAGACATTTTTTCAAGCGTGTTGGGAAAGTTGGCAAGATAACGTCCTTTATTAGTAAGACAAGAAAAGAACTACAGAAAATAATAACAAATGATAAATCAAGTACATGAAGTTAAAATTGAAGCCAATAAAGAGACCGCGAATCATTAATAACAATTATAAGAAGCAAAACATACCTTGCACTGATAACGCCGTTTTCTTTGTCGGAAGAGATGATTGAGCTTTTTTGACCTTATTCATTTTTAAATTACATATAGAAAGTATTTCTACCGACTGCTTTCCATCATCCATCAACGGCATCCATCATCTTTTCATTACCTTAAATGCATCCATATGTATTAACTGCAGGCCAAAACATTATAAATGAATATTTCTGGTCTGATTCGATTTGCTCTTCTTTTGAAACCTTATTTTACATTACAAGGAAGAAAACAAGAATTGGAATAGGCTGAGAAAATAAACTATGCATTCTGTATGTTATCTACGGTGAAAATGATCGCTGCGACGGCAAGTATCCCATAAAAGCAGCCTACTGGATATAATTTATCATCGAATTATTAAATACTATATATTATTTCCACGACTTCACATCTAATTGATTTAACACGCAGAAAAACAAGGAGACTGAGTGAGAAGCAACAATGTTACGAGTTACGCTAACAAGCCAATATCGACAATAAATCGCCAATAACAGAAGCCGGATGACCTCTCAATTCAAGCGTCCAACCGACGCTGAGAGAACATTCTTACAAACCACTTCCAATTATTGTTTCAGGAGCCACCAACAAACAGCAACTCCATATCACCAATTCTTATTACGACTACTCAGTACCCAAAGTTCACTTTGTTTAATAAGTTGCCGTGCTGGACTCGCTTTACTCAACATTATTAAAATCATTTTCCTTCTCAAATTCTAGAAAAGATACGAAATTTCATCAATTAAAGCAATTTTGCATAACACGCCTTGAACGAACTTTTCAGTAGTATAAGGTAATATGGCATCGAAATTTATGAAAAACTTTTTTACAGCAAAGTATTAAATTGATAAAAACTTCCCATAGGTTCGTTTCAAAACATCAAGGAAATGAGATGAACATAGAAACGCTAACTTGACGATGTGGGTTAGTAGCTTCTGTAAGCTTGACAACAATGCCAATGAAATAGTTGTGAAAGAAAAAACTCATGATAGTGTATCCAAACCAAATAATTTTCGATTTTTGACTGGAAAAATAAGGGCCCAACGTAAAAATGAAATTTTAATGAATAGAGAATAGAATATAAAAAGAGCAGCATAAAACATTAAAAAGTTCTTGAAGTGTAATTTCACTCGAGTTTGAATATCCTGCAACTTATGGAAGTCAAAATGTACAGACTCTAGATTTTATTAAAGATGCAATGCCATTTTAATATAAAACGTAAGTAATTAACTGATTACGATAGCAAGTATGCATCATGCACTCATTCAAGAATTTCAAGATAAGGAATTAGTATAAAACGGCGTACTTATGGATCTGAGGAAGTCGAACATTTTATTGCTATAGAAACAGAATTTAAAATTATACGAAAATAAAAGGATGATTAGTCCTTGAATTGGTGATTTTCAGTCGTCCACAAATTAATAAAATTCAACAGTGCAGGAAGATATCAAGTGTGTGCGTAACCACCCGGAAAATTATATATATTTAATTAATCAGTTATTTAAAACAACCGTACTGCATTTCATTAATGAAGAAACAGAATAACCAGGTAAAATAAGTAAATTGAAGAAAGTAAAATGACTCAATTTTATGGAATTGTTCTAATTATTACCTAATTTATTAATCATAGAGAGAAAACAAAAAGGAATATGTCAAACAAAACGACTTATAGACAATGAAGAAAGCTTAAAACGCTTCTATTTCAAAAATCATTTCCATTTCAACGAAAAGTCGAGACTCGAACGCGCAGAACTTTCGAAACAATTTTCAGAGTCTTCTTCAGCTTCCTCCTGCAGAAGATAAATTTTTAGCAAGCATTTTAATTTATGATTCTTCAGCAATGCTTTTAATGTTGCTTTGCACAAAGCCAATAATTAGAATCGATTTTTGGACACTTAAACTTTAAAACTTTCAATGGTTTCGACTTTCAAAATGGTAACTGAAAGAATGAAAATGTTATCAGAAAATACCACATACTGCAACTGTTGACGACGCAAGCACTAACAAACGATTAGCAATAGGGAAATTATCTCGCTGCAGTGAATGTAATAATGAATTAGCTGAATGGCCATATTCCACCGGGCAACTAAAAGTGATATGCCATATCTTCAGTTGCTGTTATTTTGTCACAGGATTGTAAAATATGTTCAATGCAACAAAAAGGGAAGAGACTTACCTTAAACAGAATAAAAGAGATCTATCAAAGCATTGTTTTTTGTTAGCACTTTCCTTTGCTGAAAAGCAATGGACATCAACGAAGGAAAAAAGAACCATACAACAGACCTTTTTTTAATCTTTGAGTTTTTAACTTCAAAAATTAACAGCTAATTTTCAGACAAGCAAAACTGTTCATATAAAAGATACCTGCAGAAAATAGCCACTGAGCAGCATAAAACCATTTTTGTTCAATGTTCTTTATGTGAGAGAGAATAGTATTATTAGTTGCGCAGTATTTTAACAGTTCGATAAGCATATGAAATTTCCTTTCAAGATAAAGTTTGGTTAAAAGCAAATCGATCATGGGTGGCTCCAGCAATTGATAATCTATCACTATAGATGCCAGAAACAAAGTCAACTGCAAAAAATGAAAATTCGGCAGACTATCTGACTAAGCATTAGTAGTGTGGTCATTTCTTTCTGTTCACTTTTTCTTTATTTTCATTGACTTGAATTATTTTTGGGCTGCAAGTTCTATTTCCAACGATTGGTTACAAGTAACTGTTTTAAACCTACCTGAGGTATTTGTCTGTTATTATTTACTAACGACTTGAGCAAAACCGCTTTTTCTGCCGAATGAAATGTTTCAATATTCAAATCAATTTCGTACTCATCAACCATTCGAGAATACAGCATTATTTCCAACATTGAACTAAACAATTTTAAAATTGTTTTATATTGTCTAGGATCTCAACAAATAAATTCAAACAAAAATTTAAACATGTCTGGAATCGAATGATAAACATAAAGTTTATTGAAGAAATTATTTAATGTTAAATTTATCAAAAATTTTCAGATACGTTTAATTTTATGCTCAGATTTTGGCAGAGAATATCGTAATTGAGAAGATAGCATTAAGCGACAGTACTAGATATTCAGTCAGTACCATTGATTAAAAACGTAAATAGTAATATTATATATTTTTCACCAAATAGAATTATAAGTATTACTACAGTGAACCACTTAATCATTTTTGTCACTTCTGGTATTAGGGATTAAAACAAAATTGTGTTAGGATTGAACAGTTAGTGCAAAACTTACCAGACATTTCTTAAATCACTTTTCATAACCTCTGGAAACTGTTCAGGTTGTAGTAATCGCAACAAACAACAAACACTGCGTATTTTGCTTTCATATGAACCCTGAACTATATTCTATGAACACTAAATGACTGAACTAAAGTAAGCATCAGCAAGGGCATCAAAAAGGGCACAGCTAAATTCTCAGAGTTTTATAATCGCTAAATTGAATCTCAATTTAATAACTCAAATCATGCGAAAATACAAACAAACAGCTAATCAAACCAAACCTGTCGGCAGATATTTGCAAGAGTACAAGTTGCTTTTTTGTAATCTCGCAATCGTGATAGTTGCACAGTCCTGAAAGCTTAAAAAATTACATCTTCTTGAATTCAATTTTTATTAGCACTAACTGTTTCCTTCAGACAATCAACTTAGCATTTCAATCAGTATGTATGAAAATTAAAGTAGGAGAGTCTTAGAACATGCAATCATACAGCATGTGATTATAGTATTTTGCACGTCGAAAAAGAAAGAAAATCAGTAACTTTTTGTCTAAAAATCAAGAAATGGTCAAAAATGACATACATTAGTAATCAGAATTTCAAACCTTGAAACTGTAGGATCAGAGTATGGTAATTTGTAAAGTTCCTCATCACTTTCTTTCATTACTACCGACGTCAGTGATGCGTCACTTGAATTTGTCTGCAATGTTTTATTTCATTAAACCCATAAAAATTTTTAGTTCGGCAGTAAACTATTATCGCCAATTCGCATTTTGTATATTTTCCAAAGCTACAAGTGGATATTCAACTGACCATTTCACCTACTTCATTAGGATCAAAAACCGCAGCTTTTCCAGCATTCCACTCAAGCCACTGTTGGATGACTCTGTCCTGGATCGTATCCAAATCCAAAGCAAAGATGTCAGCCAATTCAACTGTGCACGGAACTTTGTCACCTTAAAAACAAAACAAAAAAAAAAACGAACTTTTGTAGACAGTATTTTGAGACGGTATAGGTCGAGTAAAAAAAAAATGAACATACTAATTTCTTTGAAACTGTTCCAGTCAATCTCATTCGCATAAATGTGCTCGATAAGATTTTGCGGTGTGGGTAACAGATCTAGTGTTTCTGCTCGTAAGAGTCCATATTTCTTGAGCACAAACTCGATATTATAATTTCTGTAAGCCTCTTCCAAATTCTGACGAAAATGGTTCAAAAAGTCTATGTCTTCGACCTGTAACAAAATCTAATCTTATTGAAAATACCAAAAATCTCAGGATCTATCATCCATTTTCCTGGTTGTCTGATTCTGCAGGAATATATTTCTTAATAATTAAATTTTATAACAAAATAACAGCAAATATGTATCCCGCTAAAATGAAAAATCTCCATATTGTTAACCTCACATATATGTACCTCAGCTGATCCACGCTTTGAATCTGTAACCCATTCTTCAATGACATTGATTCCCAAAGATAGAAAGCGCAGTTTTGTTCTACCTACAAGAAAAAATGATGAACAACAAAGCAACAATGTTTGGAACCAAAAATTGAATTTCTGAACTAAGAAATCACTCAGTGGCAAATGTCTGAAACCATCCGTTAAGCCTTTCAGTGTTCGAAGACGATTGGTGGCTTTTCTAAGTAGCTGCCTAATTCGTTCAATATCACTCTCATCCATATCAACGTCCTCGGTAATGCATGTTTGAACAGCCAATAAAATAGCACTTGATAGAAGATCTGATTTGGAGATTTCAATTTCAGGCAATGCTCGAACAAACATCTGCCAATTCTAAAAGCAACTGTGACACATCTTAAGTTTACAAATGAAACTAAACTCGATTTAACTTCTACTTAAGATTAAATAACTTGATTTAACAATGGTTATGAGCAGTACAAAATTAACAACAGCAGAAAAAATTTGTTTTATAATCATAATAGAATAAATACTTGATAATACACCAGAGGTAAATTAATGAAAGAAAAATCTTAATCTAAATATAATGTTAACAAAAATCTTAGACAAAAGATTTGAAAAGTGCCGTTAAGAGCGATATGGATATAAAAAATTAAAAAAATCAATAGCAGCAGTTAAATTTATTACTTGAAAAAAAAATAAATAAACTTACATCGACATTGTAGAGCGTAAGTTCAGCATGGATCATTGGGAGTAACGTATTCTGCAAATCTTTTTCATTTTCAAACATGAAGGGATGAAATGGTAGACGATGACAAGCTCTATTAGGAAATTGGCCAAAGAGTGAATTTGTCTTTTTGTATAGCAGATCGCTACCGTCTTCCTCTAGAGTATTCAAGTCTTCTCCATCAGAAACTTTCACTGTTGAATCGTGGCTACCACACTGCTGAAAAAAAAATTAGAATTTCACATTTTTTACAATTTTTATAATTATTCTACATTAACAGTTCATAAATATGAAAAAAAAAGTTTGAATTAATGCAAGTGTTTCTATTATCCTTAGTAAAATGAACCTGTTTCACAAGAAATTTTTGTCGCTCATGGTACCATCGTATTTCGTGATCAGTTGGGGGATTTACACGTTCATTGATCTTTAGAAACCCAATTGTTATGGAAGCTCTCCGTAATATTTCGACTTGATCGCTATTATCCTCATCGAGATACTTCTCCATTCCACTGATCATTACTTCTATTGCCTAAAAATTACAAAAATAAATAACAATATTCAAATACTTTATATTCAAAAGCTGTGACTATAATACTTTTTTAAAAATTTCTTTTAGTTATGTAGCAAGGCTTCCCCTCCAGCAGATTAGAAAGGCAACATGAATGGATGCAAACGCAATTTATACAAGAGCAAGTCAAGTTATGAAAATCATTTACCTCATAATTATAAGGACAAAGCATCATTAAACATGCATAAAGTTGCATGAAGAGATTCTCCGTGATACCAATTTCCTGTAATCATTACAGCGCCCAACTTCGAAAATATTCCAAAAAAAAAATTGAAAATCAAACAAAAAATTATAAAAGAAAAATCAGTTGAAAAAATAATAGTAACCTGCAATGCTGCGTACACAGTAAAACGCATTTCTGCTGCTAATATTTGATCTTCTTCTACAGAAGCCCTAAGTGCCATTTTTGTTGCATATAAAACCAATGCTTCGGTGATTTCTAATGAAAAATCCTTACAAAATCTGAAAATACGCGATGATTAAAACAATCACAAACTTTTCCAACAGACTTTCAATATCAATGCATTTTTGTAAGATATTTTACAAGTCTTTGATAGAATTTCTTTGAATTAAGAAATGCGCATATGTTTTGTGACACTATGATCGATCCTACGAAATAAAAGTTACTGAAGCATTAAACCACTTTAAATATTTTGAAGGGAATTACTTATAATAGTGCCGATTATGCGAATTCTTAAAGAAGTTTTAATATAATGAAGGATATTTTATCAAATTCGACAAGAATTCTACTATTATTTTCTGATTGACGAATAACAAATATGAGGCAGAATATGAAACAGATACGAGGTAGAATTTGAGATAGATAGGAGGTAGAATTTTAGCAAATAAATTCAAGTGATTTCTATATATGAAACGATCATCTAAACTGGAATAATGATAAGACGTGAGTGATACATAACATTCTTACAAAGCAAATAACTTACTCGACTAATATTTCGGCTGGAATAAGACATCGAACGAATTCCTGAACTGCTACATCTATTGATACATTCTGTGGAAAATTAGCATTCAGTCTTCCCAACTTTTTGGTCCACAAGGTTAGTGCGTAATAATGCTATAAAATAAGAATCCTAAAGAAAAAGGAAATTTGAAGAAACCAAAAGTTCAAAATTGTTCCAGACAGAGTTCAAATCATTACTACCACTTGCTTTTTCTTTTCCTTAGTCATTTTCAAAATGTATGAACATAATGCGTGAAAGTCTTTTATTACTAATTTTCATAATCAAATATTAACTAACGTTAAGTTGCTTATCAGTAGAATGATTGTTAAGTATAATGGCGCAAAATCGAGCAAGACGAATTAAATTGAACATAATATGATGCGATTTTCGTGTTGCACACCAAGACCGAGTTTTTAGTAAAACCTGGAAAAATATGAAAAAAAGGAACCTCATTCTGTAATAGAAAATTAACAGTTAACCACATCATATCCTTTACATTCTAAATGTCAGTGGGCGCAGTAACTTGGCATTAAGCCGAAAGTTCATCCCATAAGTTACTTCCACTTCTTGTTCCTCATCCTCCTTATTTGCAAAAAAATCATAAATAAGACAATCTATAACTGTTTACAAGCCAAGACTATGCAAATAAAGAATGTAAAAATTAAAATTTCTTTTCATGATTTGATATTTTTAACAAATGCTTAGTTTTTCTCGCACACTCGGTTGATTTCCCACATATGTTTTACGCAAAAACACAAGAAAATAAAACAACAATCACCTTTTTGATGTCGGCAACTGGAGCAGAAAAAATAAGTGCGATGCAAAGTTCAAAATCAGCATAATTATGCATTAAAGCTCGCTCCAGAAACAGTTCGATAGTTCCATGTAGCTCAGAATAAGCAAGACTAACCTGACTTGGAACCACGTAACACGCTCAAAAAATTTGCACATTTACTTAAATTTAAATTATGTAAAATCATTAATTTTAAAAATAGTGCAAAAACTCTTGATACTATTCATAGACAAATAAAGGGTACAAAAATAATAGGCTTACATAATAATGCAAACGAGAGACGAGCACAAATTGCTATCAGAATCTGATTGTTAAGAATTAGATAGGAGTAGAAATTTGTCCAAGCCATGCGCATCTTTTCATAGCATTCTGGCAAACTATTTTTGCTGTAATTGATATGTGAATGCATTCCCAAAATTTACTCAAAATAAAATTTAGAAAATAGGAGAGAGTTACTTAATATCAATGAAATCGGTGTCTATCAAAGCATCAAAAACAACGGAACGAGCCACAGTAGATAATTGTTGTATAACATCACTTTTCTTGAAGAGAGTACCATCCATTCTGTAATGATAAACGCCAGCTCGTCTCCCAAATCCATATATTAAGCATGGTCTGTAGTGATTACTCATTATTTCATTTTTTATTTTGTACTTACTTTAAAATCCAATACCTATCTTGAAAACGTTTATAAAAGATTAAAAGACAAGAATAAAGTAGATTTTACAGATATAAATGAAGCTTACTTTTCGCTTGCATATTCGCTTTCTTCTACCAGATTTTCAGACATGCACTGGGAAACAACAGCTTCGAACAAATTTACAAAAAGTGCAATCTGGAAGGTTATGTGTTAATTGCGCTCCATTCATAAAAATCGAATAAAATGTAGTATGTCGCAAGTGAGAAAGCATAATACTACAATACTAAATAATTCTGGCATGTAGTAAAGTTTCTTTCTGAAATCACTAACAAAAGTTATGTTTTTTACGTTCAATTGACAATTGTAACTGTGAGTTTATTAAATGGTTACACAAAGCAGCAGCTGTTGAAAAAAGAATTCAAATACGCGATGTAGAGTAGTATGACAATCTAGCGAACAACTCAGGTATAAGATTAAAATGGTACCCCTTGTTCATTTAGCAAAATATTGTTTTTAGGAACAAATAAAAGTAACTCACATGAAAAACATGGGTGTTTAAAAAGGAGTTATGGGAAGTAGCTTCGATAAGGCAACTCATTAAATCGGATAGACTTCCAAATACAACAAATATCTAAAAGAATTTTAAGACCGAATTAAGTGAAAATTCAAACATTTATAAAACAATGTTGGCTCACTTGCCGTTATTTTTAAGGACGAGCTAAATAACAGTTAACAGATCTAATGCTTTAGGTCATAGCAAAAAGCCAAAAACATGGTGTCCATGTCCTCACCGGCTCAAAATCACTATTCTCAGCTAACTCAGACATGATCCATAATCCATAGCCACAGCTTTGCACTACAAGAGACAAAAGTTGTTCGCTTGGCTTTTTTGCATCTTGCATCGCAAATCTGCAATTGTAAAAAAAATGGCATTTATATAAATATGAAACTTATCAACGTTTAAATAAAGTCTAATTACTTCGCATATTCCAAAGCTGCTACTGGATTTCGATTCTCCAAAGCACAGCGGAGCGCTACTTCATACATTGCATTTTCTTCCATCATTAGAGTATTTGAAAATTTTAAAAGCTGCAGAAGGAACATTGTAGACTATGACCGTATCAAAAAATTTGACAATACAAAATATAATAAATTGCCTCAATAATTTTCAGTCCTTAATTTTTTTCTAAAATTCAAAGCAAATCAGAAAAAAATATAGCCGTGTTTACCTCAGCTATCTTTGCAGGAATACCATTACCAGCAAAGCGCTGATTCAGAAAATGTCTCAGTTCTGCTAATTTCCAACTGTTACTGCGAAAGAATGTCAACTGCGTAATCATACCATAATCAATTTGCAGCTTTCGAATGGCATTCAGTTCTGATAGAAGCATTTCATCCTTAAATGTTGAACCAATTTTGGATTAGCTCATACATTTTCAATCCTTAAGAGGGGAATACCAACATTTTGTCAGGAATTTAAGAAATCTAATACAGGAAACTATCAACATGGTCCGTTTTGGCCTAATTTAATACAACTCTGATTTTTAAAAGCAGCTTCGTTACTTTAAATAAAGATTTCGCCAACACTTAACACTACAGCAACAACCAACCACTGGTCCTCAGAAAACTTTCCTCAAAAAAATTATTCATTGGTAATCTTAATTCATGCGAATTCTTGTTCAAAATAATATTAGCTTCGCTGTAGAGGAACATCACTCCGGTATTAGAATAGCGGTTCTACTGGCAGTGATATTAGACTGGCTGAACAATTATTTCTTTTGATAAATGCATTGAACATGAAAATGACATAAGCTCATAATTATAACAATCTTACTACTGTTTCTGAAGCTTTATGAAATTCGTCAATGAGGATTCGAAAAGCTTAGAAGAGAAATATATTTCTAAATTATAAGAGTAATCATAGGAACACAAATATAATACACAGGATAATTGAGAATGCACATAAATTGTAAGACATCGTCGAATAACAAAAATTAAACAGTTAGAAAACTTATCATTCATCACAAAATAATTTTTTTAGCGCCAACCCTTATTAAAATGTACGGCTGGTATCTTAGCAGTACAAGTTGTACTGTTTGGAACGTAATTTAAACATTTAAAATTAGGTTTTAGTTAATAAAATTTCCCCTCAACTAAACTTTTAAAACTTTATTAACTGTACAAAAAAAAATTCAGAATATCACCTTTCTGAAACGCTCCAAGACGCAAGAAATGAATTCCACATTTCGAAATCGAATTTCTTTCTCCTTCTAAAAGTTATAAAAATTTATAAGTAAAAATATTCTGAAAAAATGGTAAAATCCAATAAGATTTTGGAAATTTACTTCCGTCAGAAGCAAAACCGGACAGTTTAATAGTGATTCAACATGTGACATAAGCTGACTGATAACACAATTCCGATCCGTTTCATTCAGATCGCTGAGACAAGAAACAACACTCGAAAACTAAAATAAAGGAAATTAAACAGACAGGAAGAAGAGTAAGACGATTTGATGATGCAACTAGAGAAGCAACTGCTTTAAGTAAAATAATGCTTAAAATACAGAATTAAAAAGGGTCATTCTTCTAAAGTGCTGACTTTTTGAAAACGAATTGATCGGATGATTTCGATAAAAGAAGAAACAATGCTTCCCTAGCAAAAATGAGAAACTAACCAATTCGTCCATCAATTTTGAATTGATCAGATAAAGACAGAAACGAAAAACACATTCATGTCGCTCCATTAAGTTCTTCTTCAACTTCCCCGCTAATTTAATTATCTATAATTCCAATGAATGATCCTCACAGTAAAATATCTGACATTAACTGCAGACATTTTTAGATTTTAAAAGCTACTATGTTTTGTACCGTTACGTCAGTAATTGAATTACTTTGTACAGAGAATTTAAAAAAAAAGAATATGAAAAAAATTCAGCAAAAAAAAAATAAATATGCTTTATAACATCCGTACACTGTTGCTTTCAAAACAATTAACTGATGAACTTGCAAATTCACCTCCAGAGCACTGTTAAGTCTATGTTGAGGATCAGCTTCCACAGATTCTTGTCGAAAAATAAATTCAATGGCCTTACTAAACAAATGTTTTTGTTGTAAATATCTTTCAAGTGTTTGCATCGGTAAACGATATTGTACCAACCGTTCTCCTAGTACAGCAAAATCACATTGCTGCTGTAGACAAGATGTCCTTAAAATTTTAAATACTTCGTAGTGAAATGTATCGATCGAGAATACATAATTAATTAGTGATTCTTGCTACCAATATGTACTGAGATCATTTTATCAAAAGCTAGTACCAAAAAGTATGAAATAGTTCAATTAAGATACAAAGTTTTACTCCAGAATCCAAACTTAGATTATTGATTTCTCCTCGGGTCATATACAACAAAATATTACTCAAAAGAAAATTATCAGTTAAAACACGATATCAACTAAGCAGTGGATTTCCTTCCATCATCCCCTGTCTTAGTTCTAGCGTTCCAAAATGATCCTCTAACAAAATTTACATTTTAAAATCAAGCCTGGGGTCTCTTAACATTACGTGCACAGCATTTGATAGCTGTTTTGTCCATGGTGGGTGAGCACGTTTCGCAACATCAATCAACGCTTCACATTGCAAATTTAAATTTGAAATACTTTCTGCCACAACCAAACACCGTTCATCCCACGGATTAGAACTGGAAACGACACCAGCAGAACTTGTCGCGATTTTCTGTAGAAATAACAAAAATTCCGACAGGATTATCCCAGAACCAAATGTAAATATAAAATATATATAAGTACCAACTGACTTCAGAAAACTAAACGGAGCATAATAGAAGTTTGTTTTTGTGATTTTTTAAAAAATATTTCAATAATTTTATCAAATTGTGAGCAATACCGGATTTTTTCATTATCCAGTGCACCATTTCTCCTAATGACAATGTTACTTGATTACTGTTAACGAAATCCACGATAATCAGTGTGAATAACTAAATTCGCCAACTGCTTTCTTTCCTTTTGTTTTACTTTATACAAATAAATCTTACCAAAATATAATTGTAGAGTGTACGATCAGGATCTAATTTAAATTCATTCATGTAAGGCCTTGCATATTGATCAATATTACTTTTGATCAATTGCACACTTTTCACCCGTTCTAATATTACGTAACAGATTGATTCCACTGTTTGTTCCTATCAAATTCTGCATCAGTTACGATTGAAACGGAAAATTATGAATCAAAAAATGCAAACTAGTGAAGAACGGATTAAATTTAAAGTGTTGGTTCCATTTCATATTTCAATTATGATGAGAGATAAAGATCACATCATCATCATTTTTAACAATCCAGAACGAGAGAAAAGGAATCATAATAAAAAAGTAAAAATAGTAGAAATTAATTAAGGAAGAAGTTTTCTTATCGACCAAAACTAGTAACCAAACGTATTTAAGTGTTTGTGCATCTATTTAAAAATTCAAAGCTTTACTTACCTGATAAGTACTGTAACTCATCCTACACTGATAAACGCTTTTAAGTCTCTCCATTGAACGTAAATTTTTCACATAAATATTCAATTCTCCCATAAAATCATCTGGATCTTCAGAATAACACCCGACAACTGAAAGAGCATATGCAACTTCGGCCTAAAAATTAAAAATTTATCCCAAAGTTAAGAAATTTTTACAAATTCCCTGCATGCTTCCAAAGTGAACAGAAAAACGACGAAGAGAGTTGTGATGCTGAAAAAATCTACCTCCGAATAATCCACTGAGTTCACTAATTTACAGCCAATTCATTGGAATTAAATTTCAGTCTACAGTTAAAGTGGAAAGAAAAACCAGATCAATTTAATTTGATAGTTCACCTGACGACACGGAGTTACAGAACAGTCGAGTAAATTCTGTACAACTCTTTCCATGGTTGATGCAATTTTAAACGAATTTTCAGGAAAACATTCTGGATGTTCTATTTCGACTGCACGAGCAATGTCCATTAAAAATGTCTTGCAACATGAGCAACAAGTTCTAGGATCATTTAGAAATACAACAGGGATAATTTCTTCTTCCAGAAAACGCAATGCTTCTATGATATCACTAACTGTATCTGAAATTTAAGAAAATTCAACAGAAATTTAGTTCGTTCGAGCATTCAAATTTGACTTCGTATTTGCAGCATGAAAAAAAAAGCATCCTAATAATCAATAATTATGATATTACCTCATATTTGGAAAGTAAGACTTCCATTCCGTTACAACTTCACAAAAAACGATGATTTTCATCATGACTTACCACGAATTGTGAGATGAATTTCTGCCAACAAGTGCTCAAAATTTCCTTTTTCTTTAATCCATTCCTCCAACGTTTTTCGATAGCGACACCATATTAAGCGTGCTTCACAAAATTGTCCACTCTTGCAGAAAATTTCGAAGATATGCTCCCATGAGCAACCACCAAGAAATTCTGACCACAAATCAATTTCCAAAAACTTACTACAGCACGGTTTTCGCTGAAAACAGAAAACTTGTTATCAATTCTAAAATTCTAAAATCCTCAGTTCTATAATATCCTGCATTACTTTTTGAAATTAAAAATATGAAACGGACCCAAGGACCAAGCACTTCACGAAATGACTGGTAATTGTAGCGCATTAACGATAACTTCTCCTTCGTCTCATTATCTAAAATAAAAGGAAAAAATTTAAGAAAATTTTTATTCGTTTAAATTTAATAAGGATACAAAACAAATATTTATGCTACCTGTAATTTCGAGCTTTTTCACGAAATCTAATATTTTCTTGACCCAAGAATGACTTGAACTATACATTATTGCAGCTATGCACATTTCAGCCACCTAAATAAATAAACATCATCTAACATTTTTACTCAAGTCTTTAAAATAATTCGAAATTCATCATAATGAAGAATACAAGCGCTGGAAAGTTGTTATGATTGGCCGAAAATTCTTTAAGAATTAAGGATTAAAATGTCTACCCAATTTTGATCCGAAACTTGCGTCATCCAACCAAGAAACTTGTCCAGTTCATGCATTTCGAGACGAGTTCGACCCATCATTCCCGTATCCACGAAGTGTTCAATACGAGCCATATAAATTTTCTGAAACTATTCACCTTTATTTCAAAAAATTACGTTTTGATTTTTTTAATGTAACTATTCATGAGTGGGATGGAATAGAAGACCTCCGTATTTAAGGCGAAATTTTGAGCAAATTCTTCAGCTTCAACCCATCGTTGCTGATATATTAAATGATCTAAACGCATTTCTGGCTGGCATTCATAAACTGCGTGGATCTTAACCGCATTTGGTTCACTAAAATCACAGTATTTTAAGGAAGCAAATACAAATAAAATTATTTAGTTCTATTAAAAAAAATGATTGCAGATTTAGGCAATTGTCAAGTAATACCATATTATCTCCTGCTGCAAAAATTTTTTTTCTTAAAGAGCAAAAGCATAAATGGCTTGAATGAAAAAAATAAAAAATATCGCTATGCATAAAATGTTTCACAAAATCTTAAATATCTTAACATCACACAACATTTTCATTTTGAAATGGTTAATCGCTTGAATGATAAAACTGAATTAATTCGTTAAAAAGTAATTAAGTATTTCAGCCAAACATCTGTAACAAATTACTCACCTACATTCATATGCAAAAAGTTGTATAAAAAGTATCAATCCCTCCTCACGCGTAACCTTATTCAATAACAGGGTGGTGTTGCTCACTACTTTCGTATAAATTACATCGCAGGTTCGGAAGTTGCAAATTTGAAGCTAAAATCAAATTAAAATAGATTTAATCTTTGCATGGGTGTAAATTAATTACACATTCAAAAAGCTGTGGCTTACTTGGCATGTTCCTTCGTGATCTGTAAAAAGAAGTACCAGTTTGGTGTTTTCATTTATTTTGCCTTCCCTATCTGGAACATCGTCAAAAAGCATGAAATCCTTAGCAACTGCACCAGTTTTCAAAAGCTTAATTGATGAAATTAACATAGTTGTCATGGCGTCCCAAATTAACAATTTTCCATCCGTTGTCAAAGCCATGATAAATTGAAAAATGACACGAGATGTATGCTTGTCACGATGTATGAGATGCCGAATTCGTACGATGCCCAAAATATCTGAAATTAAGGAATCGGAATATCTAAAACCAAGAAATTATATTTCAATAGGATTAACAATATAGGGATACGTACTTCAAGGAGAAATTAATTCTGCTTCATTATAATACAAACAAACTCTATATACATTTTTTAACAACAAGAAAATAAAAAAGCCTGTCCTTCTTTTAGATAAAGGATTTATATGTCATTTCAACAAAAAATTTAAGTGCTCACCGGATGAATAAAACTCATTTAGAGCTTTGTCTAGTACTTCTGCAGATAAATCAAGCAGTGCTACTCTCGCATTCTGTTCCGATGACAACTGAGAAAAAATGAATGGTAATAGATCTACCGTTAAATTCAAACATTTTGAACAGAAAAAAATTTCGTTAATCTAAAATTGGATTTTTTGTAACTTATTATATTGTAAAAACATTGCATTTAGCTTGAACTGCAGCGAAAAGTTTTTCTCCTCGCCTTTTTTTGCAGACTGGTAAAGCGAAATACATAATAACCTATTACTAAAAGTGGAAACGCTTTATTTAAAAATTAACCACGTACGATACTAATAATTTATTAAAACTGACATTCAATTTTATAAAGATTGAAAATTTTACAAGCAAAAGAGCATTAAGATGACTGATGATTGCACAGTCTCTACTAGCGTAGTGTAAGTCAAATTGTTTCCAAACCATGTTTGCCATGCCCTAAAATTGACACTATAAATTATCACTTAATAATCAAATATCATAGAATAACCAAATATCATAGAATCAAGTTCAAAAAGCATGGTGTTCCAAAGGATGTCTTACTATATTCATGAAAATTAAAAACCTTTTGTCTGTTTGATATTTCGATTTCGGCTTCCTGTTCTGGATGAAAATATTCTGAATAATTCGGAAAAAAAAATGAATAGATTTCACCGCTTTCCAAAACGATGCACATTCGCAGATCTTTAAGCTGCAGATCGCAACTGATAGATGCACCTTGTGTCTGTTTATTTCCCATTAGTTTCTGAATAAAGAACAAAATCAACTGGACAAAAATTTTTTACTTTTCAACGTTAGATATCCATTTCAGTTAACCTGGCATGTATTTTGTAAGAAAAAATTCAAAAAGATGACTACCACTTGATGTATTATACGGTTGGAACCGATGCTAAGAAACATCACATTTCCACAGTTCGTTAAAACTGCTATTAAATTCACGACGGGCATAAATTTCATAGCAACCGGATTGATATTATCTGAAACATAGCTGAACATAATTCAACATTAACAAGAAAAACTCATTAACCAAAAAGCTTACATCTGTCACATTGAAGTTTTTGGATTCAGTCAAAAAAAAAGTATTGGAAGTGACGAGAACATTTGTAGATAAGAAATTCAATTTTTTCTAACTACTGTGATTTCGTGCAACCTAAGCCGCTAGCTCATTATGGTATACCAACACCTCAGGTATACCCTATTCAGAAATGTATCAATTATCATACCTCCAAGATGCACTGTGACGATAAATCTTGTACCACAATCAAAACTAAATATTGAAATGTCCTCGCCCACTGCTACCGCCAACAAATCACCATCAGCATTCATATCGCTTAACACAGTTTTCTCTTTCCGCTCCATTTTACATTCGTTTTTACTTTCTAATCTTTCATAATCGCCACTTTCATTTTGTGCGGATTCCGTGTATGATCCATCATCTAAGTATTTTCAAGTAATCAAGAAATGAATTCATGATTTTCTTATGCTATAATTAGATTCATCCTCCTAATACTTGTCCGACTTCCACAATGCATTTTTCTAGTTATAATATATCATCTTTTCAAATTCACAAAGATCACATGATTTCTTTTTACTCACGAATACCCTCTTCGAAATATTATCTTCAATGATTTTCAACAGAGTCAAAGACATATTAATGGATTTTAACTTTCTACGTTTTAAAAAATTTTACCGAAAATCGATGCAATTATAGTTGATTCGTATAAGCTGTGACACTTTTGCTTGGAAAATGTCAGATTTGTTGTTTCATCACCATCATTAGGAGCTGTTATGCTGGTGAAACGAGTGCCCAGAACAGTTGACATATTCGAAATACGGCAAATATCTAAAAGTAATAACGGTTACAAAACGACAGTCTATGACATAAGCATTCATTGAATTCTATCACCTCTTTAGTTCCATTAAAAATGTACTTCAAGTTTTCACATGTATTTCGGAAATATTTCCAGGCAGCAAATTAATAATTTACTGTCTTGCAAACTGATGGGAAGAAATAAAAAAAGTGGCAGTGATACGAAGCTCGTAAAGGTACCTGAATTATTCTTTAAATTTTTTTCCTTTTTAATCTTTTTTGAATACTCACTCTCTCTTCTTGTTTTCGTGGAGTTCTCTTACTACCAACAAAAACTAGATCTACATGATTTCATTATGATACGGATGTGATAAGAAATGCTGAAGCAGTCTGATAAACATGGTGTAATCAAAGAGAAAACATTATCCTGTCTTCATTCTACAAACACCTATTTGAAGAAGTGGTAAGTAATAAGATTACTATTTAAAGATTCTAAATTTGCTATGAGGATCAAAGAACGAAAAAATGCTTGTTAGTCAAATCCTTCTTCTTGTGAATGACAAACAATGAACTATTTTTGCTGATGGGACAGCAGAAAAAAATACCAGAAATTCCGCGACCATATATTATTAATGTTGGAGATTCATGAAAGATTACAGATGGAATTTGTATTTTTCATCCCTGCTCACGGATGAAATCAAAATAAGATTAAGTGCTAGAGTGCAATACAAACAGGATCGCATGAAGATTAATAAAATCAATAAGTATCCAACAAAATCAACAACTATTCAACTCCTTATCCGATTTTACAGTAACATTTAAATGTTAAAGGACAAAAACTATAAGATAATATGTTCAAATTAACTGAGCAGTGTATGAATTGCGGTAACAAGTAAGACAATGGATGTAAACAGCACAGATAAATAAAAAGCTGATGGTCAGTAAAGGGAAAACAGGGGAGAGACGTGGAGTGGAATCGATATTGAAAGTAATTGTTTTTACTTCATCCAGCTATTAATTTCACAACTAAAAACTCTCGCTTCTGGAAAGAATGGAATGACAGTCCGACTTCCCGCACTCCCTTTGAAAGTGTGCATTCCCGCCAGCCATCACCTCACTTTATATTGCCGCCCGTGAAAACTCAACGCCTTTCCTCACGGAAGAGCGGTAGTTTGAAAAGTAGTAATTTTGTGACAATCTTTGAAGCGATGAAGTTGTGATAAAAGTACTACTCGACTCTTCTAGAAAGCAGCAGTTTGAATTACCAAATAGGATTCAGTGTCAGGTGTTTTACCATATTTGACAGTTCTAGAGATCGGGCCTAACAGATTTGATATCGTAACCTATTCAATAGCCACAGATTTACTGCGATAGATGCCGTTAATAGTGCATCTGATGACACCAGGAGATGACGGTTGGTAGTCACGTGGCGGAAATAGTGAGACAAGGGATTTGGGCATCGCTCACCGGTGGATGGTACTATGAACCAGGCTATACGCTTTTCTGCAATGCTGTCCATTTGTATTTATGGCTCATACTCTTTCTTATTCCTCTCTTGCTAGGTTTGTGCTCTTTTTTTGCTATTGATTTCGCACTTTTTTTGTTAATTTCCCTTTTTTTCGATTGAAAATATTCCTAAACTTGTCCAGTAATTAAAAATTTGGTTGAGATAAGTTAAAAAAGGATTTTGTCTTTGTTACAATTACTTAATATCAATCCAAGCAATTAGATTACAAAGTTTTGTAATTAAGAGCAAAGATGAACTGTGAATACCGAATGATGATGATTCTGTATTGCTCATTTTGATCTTCTGGGAGGAGTAGTCGATGAATGAAAGAACCATCAAAATTCTGTGATATAATCAATAAATGTTAATCTAGTGTTATATCCATTCACATTTCAGGACTATCTTTTGACAGTGTAACGTCAGTGTACATTGCAGTGGCGTATGTGACCTTCATAATTCTTCTGTTTGTAATACTCAAATTCACGGTCTCATATTTGCATAACTTGTTTGACACTGTTGACCCAACTCCTTATCCACCTGTCCGGTCACTGAAGGTTGCTACTTTTTTCTTTTGATTCTATTTATTGCATCTGAAATATTCATAATTGAATTGTAATTGGATTGTGTATTATTATTGAAATACCATTTAATTTAAGATAAATACAAAACTCAAATACAATGCTAAATATGCAAAACTATTCTTTTTCTTATTTAAAGGTGAATAATAGGTTAAATAGGTGGATGATTTTATAGGTTGGAAGTTTTTCGTGTGAGACGGCGCAAAACTCGAATGAAAAGCTTAGGGATGAAGGAATTGAAATGGTGGATTTGCGGAAGAAATGTGATGATGAAGCTGAAGGTTTATGTTGTAATGTATCTCGAAGCTCGTTAGGACATCGACAGTGTGTGCGAATTGGTGGAAATTCTGTTTCATCTGTAGATGCAGAAATACGGATATGCAAGGTTTCTTATGTTTTTATGCAAAAAAAATAAAAGAAAATTAATAGAAGTAATTACTTTTTTTCAGTTTTCAATGTTTTGTTTTTAATTGCTTTTTCTAGGAAGTTGGTGGAGAATGGAATGAAGATCGAAGTAGTGGTCGGCAATCCGGACAGGGATTGCTTGCGTCGCCAATAACAGCACTTCTTCCTGTAGATAGCCTTGAATTATTGCCGACCGGAATAAGGTGAATTCAGTTTTTATGCTCTTGAAAAAAAAAGTCTTGAAAAAAAAATTTTTCCTGGTTTGATTTAAAATTTTCTCTTTGATAAATGGAATTTGCCATATCGCAGGCATCAGTCAGACAATGGCAAAATTGAATGCATTGGGATCGATCGAAAGTTTTCTGAACCATGTTTAAAGGAGGCGCACAGATGGAATCGAACACGACGTCGACGTTTGAGTGATACTGGTCCACTTGTACGTCGTGCAAAATCAGCCTTCGAAACTTCAAATAAAGAAGGTGCTGCTATTGGATCAATGTTAAGTGAACGAACGTTAGAAGAATGCAAACGGGTATATTTTGTTCTCGTGCACTTTCTATTCCTCATTAAATTTATTCTTTTAAGACAATATGATATTCTATTCTTCAGTATTGCAGCGTTTTCGTAATCTCGCTGTAAAATCATGCTTACTTATTTTAATGTTTTTTTGAAAATGGAAAGCACAATTATCGATGATAGAAAGAATGACGGAGTGAGTTCGTTCTGCGCTTCTCCGCGTAATATTTTCTTAGGCATAACCTTTTGTTAAAAAGTCGGCGTAAGTGACATTTTTTGTTTCAGGCGATAACTAAATCCGTTAAATTCGATTTATTACTCGTTTTGTTAACAATAAATTAACTTATGCATATTTGCGAAACACGAAACTTCTTTGGTAGTCTTCACAGAGATGACATATAAATTAAGTTGGTCGAAATTTTAATTGAAAACAAGAGGAGATCTGACATGGCTCTGTTTAATATGAAGTATAGCTGATCGCCTTGAACATGAAGAAATTTTGATGTTTCTGCTAATGATATCTCAGCAATTTTTCAATCTTAGGGTATTCAGTTATGCAGAATTTGCTAATAGCTTTAAAAAAGTTTTCCTTTCATGATGATGCATCATACTTCAGTTATAATTTTCAGATAACTCGTAAATCTTATCCAACGAAAATGAATAGTACAGCGGTTTTTCTATCAAGTGCTCTAACAAAACGCACCTGTCCATCTCATTCAGGTTCCACTGATTTTGCAGTTTTTCTTTAATGTTGGAAATATGTTCCTTCAGTATTAAATCTTGAAATGTAAAATTATGTTTAGAAATATTCGATTTTAACAAATTGTTAAATTTTCCAAATACCAGTTCGAACAGTATTTTTCGAAAGAACACAGTTACAGGTGGGCTTAATTTTGACAGTAAGTCGAAAACTGGTTCGAGTGATCCATGTTATTCAAATAAGAAAAATCCTATTATGTTTGATGAAGGCAACGAACAGCAAATTCCAGAAAGGGTGATTTTTCTCCATTTTGAAGATTTTTGGGATATATTGTTTACGTGTTCTCAAAATTCCTTCGTTTTATCTCATCTATTCTATCAGTTTAAATAATTATCTAGTCTTACTTTTTTTTTGACTTTTAATTAACGTTCGTTTTAGATTAGTATGTTAGACATACCGTCTACTAGCAAAGAAGCTGAAAAGAAAACTTTTGTTATGGAAACTGTCGTACACCTAGAGGTATCCTGTATTCGATTTTTCTGAAATCAGTTTGAAATCAAATTATTTCTCTCACTCACATTTGATAAAATTTTTGTTTTCTTCTTCAGCCGGATTCTGAACCGAAAACAAATATATCTTCGGGTGAAGGCTGGAGACCCATCTTTGTTTCTCTTGGTGATTTGGAAAGACCATCAACAAGTACATTACATCGAACATCAGAGCGGATTAACGGAGATGATAACATCTCAATAATTGGTTCGTAACTTTTTCGTTTATTGATCTCTGAGAACTCCGAAAAAAACCTTCAAGATGAGAATTCCGAATTAGAGCTGCTTCAGCTATTGAGTAGAGGGTTCATTAACATAATTAGTTGAATGTCCTTATCTCAACATAAATGGAATGAAGTTGTTACATTTTGATTTTTTTTTGGAATTTTATGGCTTCTGCAAATAGTTCCGATCAAATTATTTATAGGATGAAATAATTATGTGTGTTTTGGAATTACCAAAAACATTGAGGAAATATTTCAGTACTACTTTTTAACAATTCAAAATTCGCTTAACGAATGTACGAAAGAAGCAATTATTCGTGGAATGGCGAGGGCTTAATGTTAATTTAATTTAAATCAAAAAACTATTTACATACGAAGTCAGGTTCATTGCAATGAATGACCGAATTGCTTGGGCTAATTTAGGTTTCATTTTTTCTAAGGAATAAATGCTAGTCCAAGTAACAAAGGTACCGAGGCCTAAATGTGATTATGCATAAACTTAAATTGTTCCTGATGGTATAATTAACCTTTACAAAATCTTATCTCTCTAATCTTCACTTCCGTAATTGCAAATAATAATGCTTCCGTAAAAAAATTTTTTAATTAAGAACTAATCGCTTTAGTCGAGAACTTATGAACTCTTAATTACAAAAGTTTGTATTTCTAAAGAGCCTGAACATTTGCTTCCAGATTTAAAAATTTTTTGTTTTTTCCCATAATAATATATATCCTTTTAGCCTGATCAAAATTTATTTACAATTAATGCTTCAAATGTCATCATTATTTTCATATCAGAAAGACAGAACATTGTCATCATATTGTATAATAATGCAGGGAAATTTGGCTTAGATCAATAGAGCAGTGAACAAAACAAATAAAGCTGCGTCGTAAACAGCGTACTTGTCTAACATATTTTTAAGCAAATTAAAATGTCAGTAATGAGTTCTATTCAATTTGGAAATTTTTATCATAGTGAATCTTATTGAATTTGGTAACATAAAAGCCATTAAAGTTTTCTCCTCGAGGAGTTTTTTTTAGGAAACAACTCGAAAGGAATAGATTTAAAGGGTGAAATTACCAAGTTTTTGGAAGAATTGATTGATAAACATCCGGAAACGTTGGATGCTATTGAAAGTGTAAGAATGAATAGATTAGGACGAGGTCTTAGTTCTGCAAGCTCTTGCCTTCATTCTCATCCACCGACTGTGGTACAGCCGAGGTTATTTTGTTTTCCTTGCAATTTTTTCTTGAATTATACTGCATGCTTTAATTAAATTAATGCGAATATCCCATTTTGTCGATGCTGTTGGTGATTATAAAGAATGTATGAAGTGTTTAAGCCAAATGTAGATTTCATCATTTGTATGTCAAAGTGAAGAAGTCTGAAACATTGCATGTTTTCTTAACCAAAAAGAATTCATGAAAGGGATGATAAATTCTGCAATACCTTTTGAAGGATGGTTGAAAGAAACTCTGCAACAGTAGCGGCACTTTCGAATTTGGCAATGAAAGATGGTACCCATGTCGCATTAGATCACGAGGATACTTCGCAAGGAGCCGTTCATTCATTTCAGGTTCTCATTAAAAACTCTGAATTTCCCGAAATTGAAAAGTTGCAAATATTATGAAGTAAAGTGCGAAAAGAAAAAAAAAAGTTTCAGGTTCTTTCATTTAATCCTAATATACTTTGGTTTGTTGCAGGACGAAGATGGAAATTGGTGGACATACGTTTTTGATGAGCATGGTGTTGGAACTGCTCATGTGTTGGGTAGTAGTCGTGCTTTGATGGAAATGATTCAGAACAACAACACTGTAGCCAATGTAGTAAATAATTTTTTTAATGTAAAACCTACTCAACCATGTTGCTTTTTGTTCAGATTAAATAGAATTTACAAGAAAATCTACAAATTTTTTTTCCAGAAACTAGCAGCTTTGTCAGAAAGTGATTCTGATTCAACAGAAGATTCTGATATCGATAAACCGGCAGCAGCAAATATAGCTGAAGGTTGTTCGCGCACACAACTTTTGGAAGGTACATCATTATCTGCTACCGATCGGTGTAGGGCGTTGTCATCTTCATCAACAGAAAGCAGCACGTACATTGCGGACACTCCCAGTGCTATCTACCACGCTTCAAGCTCTGCACTGATGTCGAGACATCCAAATCATGATAGGTATTTCTATCAATATTTTTTAGGAAGGAAACGAACAGGTCACTATATGATATTTTGTTGTTTTTGTTTTGAATTTATTTGAACTATATCAACATGGGATTTATTTGAACTATATCAACATGGGATTTATTTTATTATTTGAATAATCGTATCCGTTTATGTGCTCATTTTTGAAAGTGCGAATGCACTGACTTTAAATTTCCAGACAAATAGTATCGTTTTCTATGATGGCTGCTCGCCTCAGAAATGCTACTAGACGGCGCTCACATGGGAGTTTTATTCGTGTTAATAACTTTCTTGAAGAACAAGCTGCAGGTACTTCGTGAAATGTTTGCTTCTGGATACTAATAGTCATCCATATTCTCTATCTTCGCTTTCCCCTATTTCAGTTCAGTATTTTTTTACATCCTATAGTTTAGTGTTTTTATATTGCAGTCCAAAAAGTAACATTTCTGTAAGCTCTTGTAATGTGAAATGAGCAGGACAAAGTTGCCACAGTCTTTTCAATATGTTTCGCATAAAACTAATTATTTTTAGAAAGAATGCCTCAAGTAACTCACCTGATGTCAACTAATGAACACCAAAGAGCATTAGATGATGCTAGTCGTGCATCTATACGTACTGGCTCACCGCGAGTTCTTCGTCGCATGCCGTTTTTTTCCGACATGTCCGGAATTGGTACATCGGATTCAAGCAGAATTAATACTCGGAAAAAGAGTCATTACTATCGAATTAAACTGCTTCCTTCTCTTACTGGCGGAAAAGGAATAAAGTTGGAGGTCAAAATTTTCATTTTTTTTACATTTTACGATAAACTATAAAAAGCATTATTAAATATAAGAAGTGAACATTGGAATATTGAAAAGCACAGTAAATATATTTTTAGATGGATCGGCTTTCAGTGGCAGCTTTATTTGATCGTAACAGTACTTTATTTTCAACTCTATTTGATATTTTTTTGGCATCAGTAGTTGCGCTTCTAACGGCAATCGTTCTCTCGCGTTCCATATATTATGATATGTCTCTCGTTCTTTTCGCTTTCGTTGTTGCCGGAACACATGTTGGTTTTTCTGCTGCTAATTTTTTTATATTTTATAATTGTAATAGATGGAATCCATTATGTGCATTGCGTTGAATCCGCGGATTAAGTATGTAAATTTTTCACGAATAAAAACTTATTAGTGCCAGAACAAATATACTCATAAAACTTAAGTCATAAATATATAAATTAAAGAATAACTGCCGCGATTTATTTAAGAAACTGTAATGGACGTCGGGTATTAGGTCTAGGTTGATCATCGCTTGATTGAAAGTAGTTTGCGATATTGTTTCGTTTCATTTTTTAATACGTTACTATATTAGTGGTAAAGTTTCTTTTTCCCCACAGCGTACTTGGACTACCTAAAAAAATAGCTAATTTAAAAATTGGAATCGATGTAATTCTGAAGACAATGCATCGCTTTATTCCTGAACACATAATGTTGAACCTTATGAATGGATCGCATAAACAAATCGAACTTTGTTTCTTTCGACTTCTGAATTTTTTTTCGTCAGATAATAATACTTGTTTTTAAATTTTATTGTGTTGAGATTTTAAATTTCCGATTTTTTATTCCTGGTTAGAATTTTCAGTTTTCTTTACTAAAAAGCGTACAGCCAGATGCGGCATCACCAATACATGGATTTAATTGGCTTGTAACATATTCAAGACCAATTTACTTTTCGATTATTGCCATAGCAATGCTTTTAATAAGTGGTGATTGGTGGGATTATCGTGACGCAGTCCGTTCTCTAGAATGGAAATGGAATTTTTATCATACGCAGAATGTTTCATTAATATCTATTCTTTTGGCCTGTCGTAATATACTGTCAATTTTATTAATTCTCTTACCTATTGCTTTTACTTTCGGCTTATTACCACAGGTAATATTTTTGCGATATATTTATTCCAGGAAGCATTAAAGATCTCATTGATTAATTATTCTATGGTGCCAATAAAAATTTATTAAAAATATGTCTCACTATTTGCCTTTTTTGAGGTAAATACATTAGCACTGCATTTACTGGAGCAAGTGGAAATGAATGTTTTTGGTGGAACTGCAAGTTTTTCCTTGTTGTCCGGATTTATTCAAATTAGCAAAAGTTTGATGGCTTTTGGTTTCCTTTGCTTTATCTCAAAAATTGCAAAACGTGCAGATCCCAATGGAACACAGAATGCTTTTTTTTCAGCATTTATAGCAGCGGCCGTTGCTGTTTCCTACCTTCTTTCAAGGTATGATATATTGTTCTTTCTTATCTTTTTATTTGTAAAGCTGCACATCATTTTTTGTTATTGGCAGTGTTATCTCTTTTTTTGCTGGTGTATTATTCAAGTATATTGATTTAGTATGTTAAATTCTTATTAGTATGTTAATTTCCTATTTATTATGGTGCAAAATGTCTGAAAAAGGGCTTAAATCTTTAATTAAGTAGTAGTTTTAACTATTTTGATAATATAATTGAAGTAAAAGTAATAAAATTTTAGAGGTACGAGCAATCCTGGTTTTATGGCACTAGGTTTCCGATACATGATTTCATCGCCGAAATGTGTTCAGTTAGATGCAAATCAGGAATCAGAAAGTGAAATGAAAGACGACGAAGGAACTCCATGTTTAAAGGATCCACTACCTGATGAGTTGCGAGCTATAATCATGAATCGAATCAAAAGCGACATTGCTATTTCACTTTTGGTTTTACTATTGTTTTTTGCGCTTCACTGCACTTCGGTTTTCACTGTTGCCCAACCATTTTTGCAAGTTCGTCTTAACTTTGAATCATCATTTTTATTTTTTTAACAGAAATGAAGGCATATTCTGATGGTAGATTTCATATGGAAAGAGCCTTATATATTCTACCACAAGAAACTAGCGGTTTTAATTCTATTCCATTGTGTTCTATAAATCAATTCCATACTGTTAAGGATTCGAGTTTCAGTTTTCGCTTCATTCTATTCGACTACAAAACTACTGTTTTTGACTTTCCTTTTTCAAATTTTGCATTTTGCCAGTCTCTTTGAATTTCAGATTTTATTTTAAGTTGTTGAATTCTCATATATTTTAGACAGTAACGTGTATTGCGTGCATAGTTTTCGGGTTCACCAATCACTATTTATATATGGAACTACGAAAAAACACACCGTGGCGTATCTTTGCACGACCGATTTTACGTGCTTATGAATTTGCCCAATTTGAATCATCTGTCGCTGCAAAATTGATGTATTTTGAAATTATTCACTTTTATATGCTTGCCATTGAAAGAAATGTGGTTAGTTCATTTTTTGCTCTAAGTTAATTTACTTTACAAATTTGGGTTCAAAACTCAGAATGAACAAAACTGAAGTGATAACGATTACTCAATCGCTATCACTTCAGTTTTGTTCATTTTGAAACAGATTCTCTAAAATCAAAAGATTTGAATACCAGTACGCGCTTCTTATAGATACACTTCACTTCTACCAACATTTTGCTAAAAGTATTGGTAATAAAGATGCTTTTGATCTATAATCACTGTAATTTGATATTTTTATTCTAAATTTTAGTTATATCCTCTGTTGGTGATAAGTACAGTAACCAGTAATAAGTGGACATTGCATCCCTACTTTATTGCTCTTTTCGCCTTGCGCATTCTTCGTTCGGCTTTCTCGCAGCCCCAACTCATATTTTTACCGTTGGCATTTTCTTTTCTTTTAACAAAAGCAGATCTTGCCAAGTATTCTGATATTGACCGGTACTTTCCGTTGTTTTTTTACTTTGCCGCACTTGTTTGGCCAAAGCTTTTGGAATTTTCGCTGAAAATTAATTTTATTCTTGCATATGTTGCACCATGGCAAATCAGGTATGATTTTTGCTACCTCAATTTAAAATTTTTCATTTAAAGTCACTTCAGCTGGAAGTTTAAAATCTCTATATTTATGTATATGCATATTCTTATGTATTATTTAAGTGTTTCATTTATATAACTATAGTGTAGGAATGTCTCTAATACACATTTAATTGTATAGCACTTCTAAGAATTTCATTTATTCTGAATTTGCGAATTTCAAGTGATCTTGTTTTATTTGTTTATTTTTTGATTTGCAGCTGGGGTTCGGCATTTCATGCTTTTGCACAGCCATTTAGTGTACCTCACACAGCTTTATCATGTATCCAAACAATGCTTTCTTCCATCATATCTGCTCCTCTCAATCCTTTCTTAGGTTTTTTTATCTAAAGTTATAAGTTAGGAAAATTTTTTTTCATTTAATATTAATAAAGTAAATAGCATTCGCAACGATGAACTTGTACTTTTATTTTTTTTATCATTTATTCTTTGACCACTAAGTGATTGTACCTCATTATTTCCAATATGGATATTCACCATAGTCAACAAATAGATTAAAGTTCTGTACATGCAAGCATTTTAAGATGCTAATTGCAGGTTCATCATTTTTTTTGACATCTTATGTACGACCGGTGAAATTTTGGGAAAAGGATTATAATACGCGTCGTGTGGATCATTCAAATACACGTCTAATTTCACAAATTGACCGCGGGCCGATGATGGATGATAGTAACTTGAATGCTGTCTTCTATGAGCATTTAACAAGATCACTACAATTATCACTGGCAGGCGATATTCTCTTGGGACGTTGGTCCACAGCTGTACAACCTGGAGACTGCTTCATTTTAGCTAGGTTCATAATGCCATGCTTTATTATTTGGGCGAGTATTGTACTTTAATAAATTCTGTGGAAACTATGCTGTTAGTTTTAGTAGTTTCATAATTCCAATTTTGCGACGGGTTATTGCTGTTATTTCGGTATCTTTTAAACGTTGTTAAAAAGCATCGAAAATTTTAAAGTTACTGATTAATACTTATTTTTATTTGGCTTAAGAATTTACTTGCAAGTTAATTTTTAAGATTTTAATATCTTATCCTCTCTGTTATTTCAAATAACCACATATGTCTATAGCAAGGTGTTTATTGTTATTTATTTTCAGCTATTATTTGAATTGTCTTATACATATTATTGAGGTCGGCAATGGTTTTGTGACATTTCAACTACGAGGTCTTGAATTCAGAGGGACATACTGCCATCAGCGTGAAGTTAATATTGTAGTTTTTTCAAATTTAAAACCTTGATCACTGGTGGTATCAAAGGAATTACCATGAAATGATACTTAATTTTCTTGATATTTAATTTTAATTTTAACTTTAATATAATACTTTAATAATTTCTTCTTCAGGTGGAAGCAATAAGTGAGGATGTTGGAGAAGGTATGGGTTGCTGTTGTTGTTCTTTGGGTTCACTTCCTGGTATGTTGTCGTTAAATACAACCTGGGTTTTGCGATGGCTTGCGTGGGAAGTTGTTACAGCGAAATATATTGTTGATGGTTACTCAATTACTGATAATTCCGCTGTAAATTTGCTCCAGGTTTGTTCCCACAAGGATGATCTCCGTTATTGCTTCAGACGTTGTCTGAAATTAATTTTATTTTTACTCAATTCATATATGTGAAATTGTTTTAATGCTTTATGTGATAACGCACTCGATCTTAATTTATATATTCTTAATAGGAAGCTGCTTTAGTATTTTTTATCAGTTCTGCGCAGACGATGGCTTGTTTCAAATTTCAAGTAATTTATCTGACATAAATACAGCTTGCATTCTGAAGAACAAATTATCTTTTAGCAAAAAGGCATAACTTGAAAAACAGTGCTGGTCTTGAGGAGTACAACTTTTTTGACTTCAGGTACACGAACTGCGTCGACTATTAGTTACATTATATGTGAAGAGTATTATATTTTATGCCCTTAATTCACCAAAGTTTGCGCAGTGGATTCGGCTGCCTAATATTGTACGTGATTATTTTTGAAAAAAATGAGTGCGGAAGATTTATATTTGGACATTATTCTTTAAATTTTCATAAAAAATTTTCCCAAAATTTAAATATACCACCATATTTTAAAGACTCCAAACATTTCCAGCTCCTCGCTCTACGGCCAATTGAAACAAACAGTCGATATGTTGACCTGGATCCAATGTTTAGCGCTGCGAATGACGAAGATTTTGATATCAATCTCATGGCACTTTTTTAATCTCTGGAATTTTATTCTCCTTAATTTCAGGTTGTACTATACTGTTCAAGTTTTTTAATTAATTTATGTGTATTTCAGGGTGTTTCCCGTCAAAGTTTTACGGAACTTTATGAGAGTTGGATACTCCATTGCATAGAGCAGCATGCACAACACAATGCTGATTTGTATGTTTTTATAAGTTTTCATTAGCCTCTGTAAATATCTCTTCGTGCCTTTCTTAACATACAAATTTTTTGATTCATGAAGACCAAGTAAATGGTCAGCGAGTCACAGCATTAGGAAAATTTATTGATTTTTCAAAAGGCATTCGAAGTTATATCAATGCAAGTTATGCATAAACATAAGTATGATTATTGATAGTTACACAGTTAATAATTGTAGAATTTTGCAAATGATTGCAGAAATGCTGAAAAAACTTGCATCAACAGAATTAATGCATTCTGTTTTGCACTTTCGGTCGTTGGACGGAGAGCACTTGCAGCTGCAGCGCATAATCGTCATGCAAATGCTGCTGAATCATTTCTTTATGGCTTACATGCTTTATTTAAAGGCGATTTTAGGTTCGTGTCCAACCTTTTTAACTTGGTTTTTGCTATTGGGAAGTTTCTTTTTGAGAAATGTTGTTTAAAAACTAGAACATAAAATTGGAAATATTTTAATCACCAAGATAGTCAAGGTTCCAGTGCTGAGAAAGGTATTTAATGGCATTGGAACTTCACAAAATTACTTTATTGCTGAATCTATGTTGATGTTGATGATTCGCTGTACGAACGTATTATTCTTAAATATCTTATGGTTTTTAGGGTAACTTGTCAGCGCGACGAGTGGGTGTTTGCCGACATGGATTTATTGCGATGTGTAGTAGCGCCAGCGGTACGAATGGCACTGAAACTGCATCAGGATCATTTTACTGCTGGAGATGATTTTGATGATGCCGCACTGCTCTATGAACGTATCATACATCATTTGACAAGATTATTTATTTCACATGAAGTAAGCTTAAGCATTCTACTATTAAGTTTTATAAAACTTATTTTGTGACTTCCTATTATTTTTAGACTATTTTTTATTATATTGGTAATTAAGCATGATCCCGCTTGGAGAAGAGCTATTATAGCAAATACACCGATCCTGTTAGCTCTGCGACACATTTATGACGATGGTCAAGATGACTACAAAATTATTATGCTGAACAAAATGCACCTCAACATGAGGTAGTTTGATTTATTCCAACGGATTTCAATTATAGTATTATTTTTTATCTTTTATCATTCTTTTTTTTCAGAGTAATAAAATTGAATCGCGAATGTGTTCGTGCGTTCTGGGCTGGACAGCAGCAAGAGTTAATTTTTCTGCGAAATCGGAATCCGGAAAGAGGGTCGATTCAAAATGCTCGTCAAGTTTTGAGGTATTTACATGGTTTCGAATTAGCAAAAATGGTACGAAGAAATAATAATTTCATGTCTCCACTGAAACCTATTGTTTTATTCTAATTCACAAATACTTCTTGTTTTCAGAAATATGATAAACAGCAGTGCGGATCAGCCAATTGGTTATCCAATCTATGTGTCTCCTCTCACCACTTCTTTTATTGATTCACATCCTCAAGTACGCTCATTGAGTATCCCACCAATGATATTTGAATTTATGTCTCGATCTCTTCACTTACTGTGGACTTCAGTGAGATTGAATTTTGGTACCAGCGGAAGCAGCAATATACCAACGCAGGTAAGATATTGTTTCAATTAAAATTTCGATTCTATAAGGTTATGTCATTTTTCTGAATATTTTAAACTTAATGAAAACTTCTCTGAAAATGCAAATTTTATTTGAATAAATGTTTTTAGCTCATAACGGCAACAACTACGGCAGGAATTGTAACACGCACTAATTCAAGTAACGAAGGTCAAGCTAGCACGGAACATCAAAGTGGGTCACTCAGTTTCGCTGCTGCATCTGCTACAACTGTCCAAAACAACAGACGACGATATGCATCGACTACTATGCTTAGAGTGAAGTTTTCTGATTTGAAATAGATAACATTCCATATTATCATGGAAAGTCTTTTCCTCACTTTATGTAAACTCCCACTTTGAAACTCCAAAAGTTTCTGAGCCATAATATCTTATACATTCAGTAACAACATTCACTTTTTCCAGACTGCTGTTTTGGTAAATTTTAGATATTTTCGTACAGTTTCAGAGGGAAAACTCTATTGTTTCGGTTGCTGGCGATGGTGCTACGAAAGTAACACTGTGCAAAGATGCTTTAAAATCTCTCGAAGCAAATGATACAGCGCATATAGGTGGATTGTTACTAGATTCTTCGCGAGGTGAACAAATTCAATATGCTAAAATTACTGATATGGAACAAGTTAGTATTCAAAGTCGAGATTTGTAAAGTCTTTAATTCTTCAACCTTAAGGTTATAATTTCATTCCTTTGAGAATTCTAGATTTTTCTCTATTTGACGCAAAATTTTCTTGCAGTTTTGTGAGATTATTTCCTTCCCTTCTAAATTTTGAGCTGTATTACACTTTCAACGTTTGCAAGCAGCATTTTTCTTTCGTCGAGTCCTGTGTGAAAAAATCAAAATGTTCTTTCTAGAAGTTTTACATTTTATTAAAGTCCCTTATAAAGTGTTGACATATTATTTGCAGGTCTTTACATGCCTAGATGAGCCTTTAAAATCGACCGGTGAAGCGCTAGTAACTTGGCCTCATGTTCGGTGGCAAACACTCGGTGGTCGTAGTTCGTGGGATTGGATGCCATTGAAGGGTCATCGAGGGAAAGTTGTACATAAATGGGTACCACTTCATCCGCGACGTGAACGGCGATCACATGCAGGAACGATCTATTTGGTGGGTAATCAATCTTCTCTGCAGACGCTTATTTTAATGGGAGAAGTCGGGATGTCTAATTTGAGTATGGGTGATTTCTCATATGATATGACTTGTTCCCAAAAGGCCTGTTCACGCACCAATGATGCTTTTGAATGACAGGATTTACCTTTTGCTTGCTGGGACTACTCCCCATCTTGGTAAGATTATATTATTTCCATTTTAATGTCTTGTGATCTCGATTGCAGCTGTGTGTAAAGGAAATGGGTGGTTGTTATGTTCCCGTTGGTGAGAATGGGATCGAATTCATCACAAAAGAAGAGTACGAACGTGATGTGAGAGCTGAAACGGCTGTCAAAATGGAAACTTTAAAGACCTGATACTTGCTTCGGATTTGCGCCAGAATAGTTTAGTCTGTGATTTGGTTGCCAGTAGTTAGTATTAGGAAACTACTTCTATGAAAATTATAAAGCTTGATAAGCGTGAATGAAATCGATAAGAGACAAGTCTGATATAACTTGGAAGACGCACTGTATCCTAAATTTTCTAGAAATTCGCTTCTGCACATTAGTTTAGGCACACAGTGAAATAGCAGTGAATGTTTCACAGTAGAATTTAAATAGTTAAGACGAAAATTACTCTGAAGCATTTATATACCGCTGATATTTATCTTTTTCTTGTTTTCAAAACTCAGATTTCTTGCTTTTAGAGAAAAAATCACTGTTTATTAAGTCCTTGAATTGCAGAAATTTAAAATACATTAATACTTTTTAGAATATTTATGACTACTCAGTTTATGATAATACGGCTTACATTTTTTTTTTACATTTCCAACTTTATATTTAACCAAACAAGAATGTGGTGCTGTTTTGCATTATCCAATAACAAAACAGAGCCCGCTCAAATTGCTTTCATCTTCTAAAACACAAAGTATTAGTAAAAGCATTTTAACTATGACAATATAAGCGCAAGACAGATCATAAGGCAACTTGTCAACAGAAACCAGCCATCAGTTCAGGAATGTTTTCTTGAAAATCCTTTGAAATGACGCAATATAACTCGAAAAATAAAGAGCGAAGATAATTCTACTGTTCAGAAAGAAAAGCGACAAAAACCAATTGAAGATACCTCCTATCGAAAATCTCTCCTGATTACTCTGATATTATTTCCCATAAACGCTATGAGAAAATGAGTGCTGTCAGGATGAGAAGAATAATTTTATTACAATTTAAGTAAGTTTTTGCATTTAACGATAACTGGGATATTAACTGCAGATTTCGGCATCACAAAAATATTTGCCCGAGAAAACGTTTCGTCGTACCATAGATAAATGATATAAATCATCGCTTGTAATAGTTATGTCTGCACCAGATATAGTTACATTTGATGTCTACAAATGAAGCTATATATTCATATTGAACCATCGCGGTTGTTAATTACTAAAGTTTTGCTGAAAGTATAATAGAAAAAAGGATAGTTTTGTAATAATAAATGACAAATTTAAGGCTAGTATTATCTATTTCACAAAAGTAGTATGAAAACAAAGGCAGTCTATAGCAATGAATAATAATATAAAAATTGGGTGTACACTTAAATTTATAGTATGAAAATACTTTGTTAGCTGGAATTTTTACCATCACTATTTTAGCCGCTATTCAAGAAAATAGATCAGATTAAGACAAGGACCAGTACGAGGAATAAGATAAAAAAGCCAGAAGTCATGGGATTCTCTAAAAAAGATTTAATATTTACTTGAAATTGGACGAAAGTCTGTGACGCAGTTGCAGGACCGCTCGAAAGCGAAAGCCTTGCTTTTAGTGACCCACTACATTCACCATCTCGAGAGAGTCCAGCCAGTTTCCAAGACAATGTATTATTCGACGGTGACCTAAAATAATTTTACTGTTAACCCTTCTTGGAGATTTTACGATTGGACAGAATCAAATTTAGGATCACACACTTTGTAAACCTAAGTTCGACATTTTAAACTGCGTCTCCAACTAGTATCATAAAAGGATGCAAATGCTTTCACTGGTAATCATCATAACACATAATCGAACTTTACATTGCATTGTTTGTTTCTTTTTCGATACCTACCATTCAGCATTGGGATCCGCAATAACACTGACCACAGAACCCTCTACTTTTGTGGTGAAAATAACATTTACAAGAGAGCAATTAATACTGCTATCCATATTTAATCGATAATCAATTCTTAAATCAGTATTATATGCCTCCAATTTCCAGTATACTATTAAAATAAGAGGTGGAATAGTCGGCTCCTTTACTTCATACGTCAGGACCTGAAATAAACGGAAAATGAGCACTCCATCGTGGAGGGAGAATTTGGAAGACCTGTTTCTTTCGAAAATAAATTAAGAAAGTTACCTCTGCACTAAAGAATTGAGAATCTGGTTTCTCAACCATTCGGGTAGACAACCATTTAGCTAGTTGTGTTTTCTCAAATTTGAACGTGTAAGGAGCAGCGAAAGCATCAATAACTTGAGAAATTAACTAAAAACAATATACACAATAATATTTTTTACTGTTTTAAAACCTTAACTTACTTCACTATTTTAAAACTGTTTTTTCAAAGCAACTACCAATTCTGAAGTATTCAATATTTCAATTTTACTTCTACAAACACTTGATAATTTTTTTTTCATTTAGTCAAAAATTATAAGGATGAATCAATTGAGTGGTAACAAAAAAGGACTTTCATCAGTGTTAAGATTGATACTGCTAAATAGAAGAATGGAATTCATTTTATAGTATACAAAACAATCCCCCATAAGATGCTACCTGATTATTTGACGAGATAGTTTTGATTTTGTCGGCATTTTTCAACGTAAGGATAAGTGGATCAATGTCAGAGGTAAGGTCAGTTAAAGCAGAAACTACAGTCGCTGGGAACGATACAAGAACAGAACCGAAAACCCGGACCGTTGTCCTGCAAAATTCATAACATTTTCGGGAAATAAAAAATGGCTTTGTGGAGCAACTGTTTTGAAATATTATCGAATTTACTCATTCCACTCTCTTCATTTACTGGATTTTTTCACTTACTTTGTCGGATCTGTTCCCCTAAACCACGCATGTATATACTCATTAATTGCCATTGCAACCGGGATACGATTCTCTGTTATTGTGGTTGTAGTGCTCAATGAATTCGATGTTGACATCGTGAAAGGTGTTTCAGTAGCCGTAGAGTGCTCTAAGAACAGAGCTGATTCACCTTGAGAAAACGCCTGTTCACTTTCCATCGAATCCTTCAAATGTCGAAAAATTAAGGCCAGGAAAAAAAACGACGAGTTAGAAGCGTGTAAATCATACTGCTGTCGCCTAATTACTAACCGTTCAGTTAACAATTTATGATCTGAACCAAAGCTAAACTTTATTTCTGTTACAATATACATCTTCTCTATCTACATGGAACAGATGTTAGCTTAAAAAGCATAAGCATTAAAAGACATGTTAGAGTGCAACAAAAAAGTTTTCACCATTTGAGTAGAATGTTGAACTGATGCATTTTCACATGTTTGCAATGTCAAGTTAGATACTCCAGGTGTTGGGGTACTACTACTGTGTGGTCTAGCTCGAACTGTATTTGAACCAGATATCGAAAAGGAAAATGGCAACGATGAATTATAGGAATCTAAAAAAATTAAATAATTTCAGTTGTCATAAACCTTGGTCATTAAAAAAAATTTCTCGAATTATACTAAGAAATTCTGTAACTGAGCGTAAAACAATAATTGTAATGATGAATAACCAGGATTACCCAAATGTTTTTTCCGAATATGATCATCACCAGTAAGCGCAGCACGAAGTGGTCGAACGATCCCTTCCACACCTGTATTGAAAGGTGCTGAACGACGTGTGGATGACCATGGATCCTAAATGAAAGAGACGGATACATCTAAGGTTCACGATAAATTGGAAATTAAAAATATTCAAAAAAAAAACTTGCACAATCAAAAGTACTGCTTCTGCTGAATGTTGTAGAATGTAATACGATATTTCCAATCGCGTCCCGAAGTTCATCAACTGACGCGGTAATGTTAGCTTTAGATTCACTAAGAGGCTTAATGTTTATATGGCGCAGTTTGGCCGCTTGTCGTAAGTCTTCATCATCATCTGAAAACATAGCACAAAAAAATAAGTCACTTCTTCTTTATCTATTGTATTCAAAACTAGATATAATAGCAAAACAATTTACCTGAAGACTCAGTACAGCTACTCCAACGTGATCGGCCGAAATTGTCACCAGCACCTTCATCGTCATTATCCCCTGGTGGTGGCACAGTAGGATGTGGCGGTGGTACAGTTACAGGTGCATATATATTAAGAGAACCATTTGTTGTAACAAACTAAAGACATCAAAATGTAGTACGATTGGACTAACATTCTAAAATAATACACACTGTCAATGTTCAATGGAAATAAGTTAAATTCAAAATCTGAATGAAAATAAACTGTCCAAAACTAACAGGTTTTTCTTCACTCTTGCTACTACTTGCTGTGCTTTTCGAGTCTTCGTTGCTGGAAAAGTTGTTTAGCTTTAAAAGCAAGGTGTAGCAAAAATAAATGCTGCATCAATACTATTCGATCATATAATGTTACTTGCTGCTAGCAAGTCCATGCATACCAGACAAGCCCAAACATGAAATTCATGAAAGGGATATTAATCATGACATGAACAGCCATACCAATTCAATATTATCGTGATCTTTACTACTTGATGAAACGAATATAAATATCTAATATAAAATTTTTATAAGCAAAACATACGCTGGACCATCTATGTTTGATGCGGTGATGTCAGTATTTGACTTCTTATGTTTGCTTCGATATTTCTTTAAGAAGCCTAAACAAGAACATATTAAATAATCTCTATCTCTAACTATACAATAGAAAGAAGTGAAATGGAACATGACGAACCCAAAGACTCTGACTGACTGTGACTAAATTCTTGATGTGTAGATTCCGCTGCTGACAAACTGCTTTGCGATGCATATTTCTTCCTTTTGCCAGGCAACCACAATGACAATTTTTGGCGACCCAATGACGCTGAGAACGGTAAAGATCCAGGGCCAATATTAGCCGCGGTTGATGAACTGCTATCACTTGCTACTGGAGAAGGCTGCAGAAACAACCAACTAATCTAATCTTCCTATACACGCCACATTTCCACTTGATTATAAAGAAATCATTTAATTCTTATCATATTCAGCAGAAAAAAGGGTAAATCAATGCTTCATTTACTTTTATTTTTGTGGAAAAAACTGAATTGAAAACTACAAACCTGAACTTTCAAAGCATTAGTTTCATAGGAATCAAAAGTATTGGTATCAAGTGTCATCAAATTGCATGCTGCGGATAGGTCACCATTCACAGGAGCTGATTTTTGTACAGCTGTTAATAGATCAAGAGAACATGGCGCCAGTACAAGAGGTGTATTGATATCTTTAGCAATATCAATTTCTTCAAAAACGGCAAGTTCTGCAAAAAGAAAAAACTAAATGAACTTTTTTATTAAGTGATCAATTAAATCTATTAATCAAGGAAGTAATTAATAACCAATGAAGAAATCTTCGTTAGAGAATAAAAAGAATAAAAAGAATATATTATTAATGCCAGAATATAAATATTATTAATGCCAAAACTCCGCAATTTCTGTTATCTAAGTTTATAAACATGAAAATACCTGGCCGATCTTTGCCTGTTCCTTTTGTTTCAACGAATTTAATTAGCATTCCATCAATATCCAAATTATCAACCGAATCCCGATACAGAGCACATACCTTCAAAAACAATAAAGAAAGGAAAATCGCCAATAATAAAAATCTCAATAATAGTGAAGCTAATTCAGAAACGAAAAATGTTCAATTGTGGCATAGGAAATCCAAACCTGTGATGTAGCAGATGCAGATTCGTCCAATGCACGCGCAAATACTGCCATAAAGGCTTTCATTTGCAGCAAAAAGGCTTGGTCGTGTGCTTGAAATAGACGCGTTGCTTTAATCATTTTCTCTTCAAAATCAGCTCGTACGCGGCCATATTTGTCTACATAACCCTTATATTCATCATATGATTTGTTTAACTTATTTTCAGCCTGTAAAATGCAAAAATCTAAAGAACAATTTCACAGAAGTTAAATACTGCTAATTTAATTTTGTTACAGAAAATTATGAAGAACCAAAACCCTTTGAAAAGGCGCAATGATTTAAAATTATTTAAAATAACCTTTGAAATGTCTTTTGGTGCTGCATTTTCTTTTTTTAAACGTTCCAGTTCATTTACCCGTTGTGCGTATGTTTCTTTCGACTGAATTAATGAATAAAGTTGATCAGAAATTAAAGTCTAGCAAAATCTATTTATTTAAATATAATCTGGGGTCTGCTTTCAAATCATAAATGACTGTTAGAGTAGCGGAAAAATTAGAGTAAGACGAAAGACTAACCAGAGGTTTGACTTACCTTTTGCAGACAAGTAGTAGTAGTCTGCATTAAATTCACTGCATCCACAACATCTTGCTCTTTCATTCTTTTTCTTGACCGTACAAAATCATCGTGGTATTTGAAAACCTGAAACAAATCGGAATATTCGTCATTGAACAAATAACTGCCATGAATATTTGTTCGTAGAAACTGACAATTTCAAGTGGCTACTTCAAAGTTTATGGTAATTACTAACATCTTTCAGCAGATGCTGCAAGGTAATATAGAAGGATGCTTGTATTTCTGTTAAAAGTTCCATTGTATTCTTCGTCACAAGCCATGCATTTGAAAACATCGAATTGGGTGCAACCAGCCCACTTGTCTACAATTTGATAAGTTTTCTGAGTAACCTGTCTAAAAACTTTCTGCCTTTTTTGTTAAAAAACCAACAAAATCCGTTTAAAGTTATATGTTTCCTTGATTGCGCTGCACCAGTGCAACACATATATCTAATTTCAGTATAAGCGACAAGCTTAGTTAAAGCTTATATATCAGATTACAAGAACACAAAAAGAGAAACAATACCTTAGCAATACATTTATTCAAAAATTTGTTCCATTCTTCTTCATAGGTTGCTCTTTCTTTCACAAACTGCGCTAATTCTTGCACGGATTCTTCTTCATGCTTCAGATTCTCATATAAAACATGATATCCATGATGTTTCTGACCCTGGTAAACAGTTCCAGTAAAATAATTTTATTTCATTTAAGCAAGTCTTACACAGTAAACAATTAGATTCCCAAAACTCCTAGAAAGATTTGCAACAGATTCACCTAGTTCAACTGAACTTCTACTATTATTGATATCATTAATGATGATTACCGCCTCTGTAAGAGGCCTCTGTTTATAGAACCATTATACGACCAAAATGAAATGTTTTCCAAAACTCATCCATGGAAATGATTTTGAATACTAAATCCTTTACTCGACTGAAGTAAGAAGTTGAAAGATATTAAAGACTTACCCAGAAATGGTTTGTATAATCAACTGCTGTTGCAACCATATCTATACCTAGTTATTCAACAAAACAGCATAGAGAGAGACTGAAATATTCTTTCCAACTTATACAAATACTGACCTTCAACATTTGACGGAAGTTTCCTTTTCGAACTTAAACTTTTACTCATTTGTACATTCAGTACAATAAAAACAACGCGTTATTTTCATGCAGATAGTTTATATGCAATAATTTACTAACAGGCCAGTAAATACTACAAGTAACACGTTAAGCTACAATGCTTTTGATATACAAGAACTAAGTTGTGGTTTTATCAAATTAAAATTTGTCTCATTTTATTGCAGATGAAAAAAATTTTTTTTCATTCTATTGCAGTTTAACAAAAAGATGAAGTATCCGGTTTTGACAATCGATTGTCAAGATGTTCGCAGCTATTGTTATAGATAATAATGTAAAGACAATTCTTTCTTAATTCCAGGAGTCATTAATTCAAAACGCACGAGAATTTATGTTTCCAAGTAATATTGCACTAATACTGAGATCATATTTTTGATATTTGAATACAAATTTGATTGTTTTCTTAGTTCGAAGTATGCCACATTTTTCGCCAAAATATCTTCGTTACATCGAAGAAATCAGTCAATACTGACAGTTGTTGCTAAACTTAGAACAAATGAAAAGCACTAAGGTTGACAATTCACTTGGAGATGACATGAGGTCTTTTACTAACTTTTAACATCTAATTTTCATCGTTCTTAATCATTTATTTCTCTCTGCCTAAGAGCTTCACAAAAAGCTTCCAACTGTCACACTTTCAAATTAATATAACGGAATGTTCTTTCCATTTCTGAACAAAGTAAAATAAAAACAATATTCCACATAAATTTTGGCAATGAAATGATATGAAGACATATGCATACTAATCAATTCAATGAACTCAGCTCATATGTCAACATTTATCAAATTTGCTTTCGGCATGCTTATTTCTATCTCAAACAACTTTTAAAAGTTACACATTACCGTATGGATCATTGCTGATGACACAAAATAAATGGGGGACGATTTCTTTCAAAAAATACGAGAGGGTGAAGAAAGGCAAAAAGAAGCATAATGGTCGAGTAGAGAATCTGCACATAAACCAATTGATCGAGGATGGAATCATATAGAACCGGAACGAATGGGGACGCTTTTTCATTCTTTCTTTCTTTCTTTATCCCTCTCTTTCTCCATTATACAATGTCACAAATCAAAATATAACCAAAAATACACATCACCGTCCTCCAATACTCTCTGTCTTTAATGGCCAGAGCGAAAATAAATGCAGGATGAAGTGACCAACATCTATCGTTGGTCACATCTCTCCTTTCAGCATTTCAAACTTCATCCATTGATTTTTTTAAAAATCACTGAACTCTTAGAAAAGCAAAGAGCGACATCTCCTGATCCATAGCGGATAACAATAGCAATGTCACAAAGTATCGCTTAACTGACGAAGCAGTTGGACCGACCGTAAAATTTGAGAAACCGGGCTGGAGAATGGAGGAAATGAAGGTTGAGTAAGGAGAGGTGTCTCAGGGTTTGATATCGCTCGGGAATGACATTTTTGGGATGTGAAAAAGTGATCTCGCGACAGGCCAGCAGGAGATGTTTGACTTTTTTTTATCTGATGCATATAACTTCATCGCACTTTGAAGGGAATGATCACAGTTAATTAAAAATAAAAAGCATCTTGAAACACACTTCGAGTACTACAAGAGAAAAGATTATCTTGTGACACTCTACTTACCTACACCTCTCATACTGGAAGTCTCTATTTTATCGCTTTTCTTTTTCATATCTTATAGAATTCAAAACTGCAAAAGCATACTAAACTGATTAAATTTTATAATGCATTGAAAAATAAAGTAATTCCCTGCTGGCCTGTCGCGAGAAAGGAAATTTCTTTCTTATAAAATCGATAAAGAAAAGAATTCATTTAATTAGTAGCTTTCAAAATACACGTTATACCAATGAAAGAATGGATGGTCTGATTGGCTAAAAGTAACACAATCTTCTCGAAAATTTAAATTTTTTACAAACGAACATCCCTCTTGCAGTTGTCCTTTTCAGTCACTAAATTTCCAGCTGAAAAAATTAACCATTTCATCACCAAACAGTGCTAAACAACCTGATTTCAAATGAATTTTTCTTTATTTAATACCAAGTGAATTTAACACTCTTTGAATTTGTCTTAATTAAAATGTTTGGACAGTGATCCATTGGAAACTTCGTTTTATTTGATGATTGAAGTTCATCGCAAGTGAAGTATTGATTAAAAGTTAGTATTTACAATATGGGGTTGGAAAGAGTGTTGAATAAAACCGATAGAGAGTGAAAGTATCACTGAAAGAAAGAAAAACTAACGAATGAAGAGATCTCTTGAAGGAACAATGAATTCAGTTGCCGTCAAAACATATTAATAAACAAAAAGATTAAAAGTAAATTCATTTGACTGATACCAGCAAACGGAGGTTCGATTCCTAAAGCACTTGTCGCTCAGTCGATTTTACATCAGAAATAATTTTATCGCGTTTTTCGATAATTATAAATCATTACAGCTCATTAAGATAATTATTAAACTATCAATTAGGAAGATTAATAAGTTCGAAACACATTATTATTAACTCAATAACTTTTCAACCATATTTTTATCCGCTTTTAATCATGTAATAAAATTTTCTGCAATTAGATACCAGTTTATCGCTTTACTAATTTGTCATTATTATCAATATGTCTTTTTTGCCAATTGGCTACAGAAATATTGAAATTGTTAAAGAATTCAGTCCATTTGAGAACAGTTGGCTGAAATATCACATAATAGTGAAAATCCGGTAATGAATTTCGGTGATTTATTTATAAAATGCAATGAAAAACTTGTTATGATAAATCTTCAATATATTTTTAATTAGAAAAATTGAATTCAGCAAAGATTTTATAAGTTAATTGAATTACTCGTCCGCTGAGAAACAAGTTTGATTGCTTAATGAATTGGATTAGTGTTTTATGTAAAGAAAATTGTTGTTTGCTTTAGTTAATAAAAAGCTTTTTACCGCACACAGTCAAACTGACATGGTATTCTCTCGCAATTTTCCGTGATAAATCTTTTACCTTTTTATCTTTTCATTCATTTATCTTTTCATTCACTTATCATTAACAATAGTACGTAGAAATGGTAGGTAAAAAAATATTACAAAAGAAAATGCGTGCGGTGAGACAAACTAATTGATTGAGATATTATTTTTAGCAAATTTTCTGCACTTCTTCAGAATGTTCCCAAATGCAGCTAATTTAATTGAAATACAATTGAAAGCTAGTAAAGAGAAATAAAACTGTGTTAGCTCTTGATGAAGTAGTTAAATTAATTGTAAAAAATCAGAAAGATTTATTAGAATTTGATCTCTTACATAATTTTTAAAGAATATCATGAGAGCTTTTCACTGTTACTTTTTGTAACTGATTCGTAGCAATGTCTTCTTATTGTTTCGTTTATCTCTTCCTTTATATTCCGATAAATTAAACAACAACGGATTTCTTAAAAATTCATTCGAAAAATTAACAATTTAGTGAAAACAAACAATGATTATGAGAGAATGAGAATTCGTAATGATTGAAATCGTCAACTTCTTTCGATCAATCGCAAAATGATAGAACTGTCGGTGATTTCAATATAAAATTGGTGAAAAATTAATTTATTGTACTTCGCCGAAATGTTCGTCGTATGTCAGTCACTCCGTGCAGTTGAATGCCTTTTATTTCCATTACTGAAGTGCAAATAAATATTACGTTTTGCATCACTTTCACAAATTTCTCTTTCAAGTAATCGATATATTTCACCTATTCAATATTTCCTATTCCTAGGCTGATTTTTTGATTTTCAATTCCTTTTAAGTTAGAAAGATGGAGCAAGAAATTGTTTTACTACATATGTGGAAATAGGTATATTCGTCATGTTCAATATATTTTGTTGCATATTTACTTATGGAATGCAATCTTTTGCGGCTACAAGCTCTTTAAGTTATAAAAGTTACAGCGGTGGAACAGAAAGTATTGGAGAAAGATAAGCACAGTCCGTTTTAGGTATGGTAGTGAATTGTTAAATATTTATGGGTAAAAGTATCGAAAATGTGTTTATGGAATATATTTTTTTATTGATGGTTTAATTGTAATATAGTTAATATTTATCTAAGAAATGATTTCTACACGTTGTATACTTGTCCCAAAAGATGGTATTTAGTATTTCGAAAATTTCGATGATCAAATAAATCTTTTCTGCACACAATCTTTGCTATCTTATGTTCTATTTTCTTTAGTCAGCGACAGCTTTTCTTTCTTTAGAAGATTGGCAAATTGTCTACTGCAAAGTTATATTATCAGTAGGAAGTGAATAAAATCGTAATATTTAATCCATATTTAATGCACAACGCCTTCATTCGATATACGGCAGTTTCCTCTTGATCAAATACAGTCCTGAAGATTAAGATCATATAAATTGAATATAATATTTATAATTTATATTATAAATATATCCGTTTCAAAATCCGAAACACTGATACGTCAGTTCGAATGACAACCGTTCAATATATAGGAGACATGGCAGAGAACATTGAAATAGACCTGAACTTTTGGGTCAGAATTATTTAGCCGCTGCGATGTTGATTTCAATTGTCTTACTTTGCCATTCACATACATTTATTCGAAGACGTTTACTCATGCTTCGTCATAATTTTTGAATAGAAATTGATGGCCATTAAATCACACATTATGTATAAGAGACAATCTTTTTCGTTGTTCTATTAAATATGTCATCATTTATCGAAGAGTATTTAAATTAACACATAAAATTCATTTTAATCCCATCACGTTCAATTCATTCCATTTAGTTGACTTGATCAAACAACATCCACGCAAATGTTACCTTTCCTTAGTCTTCAAACAACTTTGTATCCATAGTTTTTATTTTTTATTTTCTTTTTTGTTATTGCATTACTCTTCATATAAATAGAAAATTGCTATTAATTGAAAAATTTCCAATATTTGTAAAAATGAAGATTCGATCTTATGGCCGTTTTCGATATTATACTTATTTGTTTTTATTCAGATTAACAGGAATACTAATAATTTCATTGGTACATTAGATATAATGAGAACAATATAAGTGATAAGAAGAAATAAATAATGTTTACATTATTCATTATAAAAACTAATTTCTAGATCGAAAAGTAAAAAAAAATTGTTGTGTCTTTTCTATTTACTTTGAAGAAGATACATTATAATACTGTGATAGAAATACCACAATGATGTTTGATTTTTAGTTTGTGTATAATTATTTTTTCATTCACAAATATCACATAATTTTATTGCAAATTTTTATGAATGGCTCTTTTATGGGTTTTTTGATTTATATAAATATGTATGCATAAAAGTGTGTATTCAATTCTTCCACCAAGTCTAGACAATGTTAACCCCGTTGAATATTGTTAAAATGTTTGATTCTGTTCTTGTACAATCATGCAAATAAGATTACTTCGAATTTTTAAAAAAGGGCTGTTCAGTTTCTCATCGTTATTACATCTATCATTTTTCAACTCTCTAGCATGTTTCACATACAGCTAATAAAGTTTTATAGGTACATTTTCTGCAAATTTTTTTGCTGAAATTCTGCTATTAAATGTCTAATTTGCTAAAATTTTGACTTAAATGTTTGCTTATTTAGGCAATTTTCTGTAACATGATGGAATTAAAAAAATGAATTTTATATGTTGATTTAAAATATTCTCTGATAAATAACGATATATTTAATAGATTGTCTATAATGTGTAAAGTAATGGTTATCAATTTCTACAAAAATAACACATTAATCAGATCTTTCCTCTACATCTCATATGCATTCATGTCATTCCACTTTAGTTCCAATGAAACAGTATTTTTCAGTTTAGATCGTCATTAGTTTGTTTCTTTATCTACCTAACCTATGACTACTGATCGATGGGTCAGTGTATTACAGTGAATGTTATGTGAAATTCAAATTTTCCAGAATTTGCATTGAAATAAAACAACTTTTTGAATTAAAATTCTTATTATCAGATTGCTTCGAAATTATTTGCGACATGCAACATCACATTTGCAGTCAGATGACTATGATGTAATGTTCATTCTTAATAATATTTACATTTAACAATCTAATCAATCAAAATCAAAGTCAATCAAAAACAAAAAAATACAGTTTTGATTAGATTGGATTGAATTGTTAAATGTAAATAAATAATAAGAATGGACGTCACAGTCATGTAAAGCGTGCATTTTTTAGTATATTTAATAGTTTTGAAATGTTAAGATACATTAATGGATCATCACAATCATCATAATCACCATATGGATCATACCATGAGTGATGCTGACATTTCTGCACCTCTGATGGACCATTCCGCGCACATTCATCACGATCATTCCTCCGCAGCTCATGTGCATTCCATGTCATTCCATTTTGGCTCCAGTGAAACAGTGCTTTTCAGTTTTTGGATTGTCACTAGCCCGATCGGTTTGTTTCTTCATATAAACCTCAATTACTGATCGAAGAATCAGTGAATTCATATTATGGGATACCATATGAAATTAAAATTTTCCAGAACCTGCACTGAAAGAAAACAATTTTTTTTAACTGAAATTTTTGCTATCCGAAGAAGGAAGCTATGCTTAGAGATGAGAATTGTGATTGTAAAAGTAAATTGCTACCAGTATGAAATGTTGATCCAGTATGAAATGTCAAGTTCTTTCTAAATTCAGGAATTGTAACAGCGTGTGCCCTAACAGTCTTGATGTGCTTTATGATGGAAAGTATCCGATGGTTTCGAGGTATTAGACCACCGTATAACGTTGATTTGCATACGGAACAATCGTCTGTTGCAAATCCAAAGTCAGGACATTTTATTAAATTTCTTGAAACTTTCACTCTTTGCATCCGTTTTTAGCTGAAAATTTTCGTTTTAAATTCCGAAAAAAATTCGCTATTTCTAGATTTGCTCCACACGTCACGACAGCTATGTGCACGGATGCAATTTTGCATGCAATCCAACTTACACTAAGTTATGTTTTAATGCTACTCTTTATGACATTTAATGTATGGATTTGTACAGCGACTGTTCTTGGCGAAGTATTCGCCAGACTCATTTTTGCTGTTTTATTCGGTGAAAAACTAATAATAAAAGCAGTAAGTTCTTACAAATTAAAATTTTTCTTGCTAACTGAAAAAAATTGGAACAAAAATTGGAAAAACCTAAAGAACTTGAAACATGAAAATGTACCAGTAAAGATGCATTGTAGAATCGAAATATCCTAAAAGATTTAAAATCTGGAAATTGATAGTTAAACAATGAAAATCTGTGATCGATTTATGCTAGGAAGTAAAATACGCTTATAGAATTGTTGCAACAAGTAATTTCAGAATCGCGCTAATGTGGGATGTTGTTCCTGATTCTGTGGACCTCCATTTCTTCAACAATTTCACGAAACTAAAATCTTGAGAATAAATATTATCGAATATTCGTGAAGGCAAGAGGATGGGAAGAGGTATTCCGGATTTCCTGAAGTTTTGACAAACATAAATAAATGTAACAAAAATAATTTCATGATTTATTGAAATGCAGTCCGTGAAATAACATAAAATGTACAGTTATAAAAACCAAATGATATTGCATACATTTCCGCCATTTATACACAGAAACAGGAAATGTTGTCGAGTGTTAAGAGCGGGGAAGGGAGGATTTTGAAAGCAAAACTGAAAACGAATTATTTGCAAATCAATAATTCCTTTCTACCAGACTGCACTTACATTTTAATCTTCAATTGTTAACTCTGTCTGTTGTTAACTGCCATTTCAGAAAAGTACTGTTCAACTTTAAATCTTTCATTATTCCAACTACCACAAATGATATGAAATAATGGTGTAAGTTCGTTGTGTTGTTTTGATATTTATTAGTTTGATAAAAAAAATTTAACTATGCACTTACACTTACTTTTGTTGTGTGTGAGGATTAGCTTAATATGCCGTACATGAAATAAAAACATGAATATTTGGTTTCAATCCTTAACGTTTTCTTGAAAAGGTGTCGCATAAAATGTTAAATTGGAAATCATCAACAATTAGCTTTGAAGAAAATAAAAAGATATCTCAGCCAATTTCAATACCGAATTGTAGACATCCGTGTTTATTTTCAAAATCATTATACTGAAGTGAAATAAACGTTTTCACAAGTCACCTGCGTTATATTCGGTGACACTGCAAGAGATAGGAGTGTTATTGATGATCAGGGAAAGGAGTGGCACCTCGAACTGAGTCTCGTGTAATATCGGGTGGGATGTATTTTTCGGTAAAAAATATCTTTGCCATCACTTTAATTATTTCTGGGTATTGCTGGATTTCCATTAAGATGCTGTAGCTGACGCTTGTATGAACTTTACCAATACAACTGGATTTAGATTTCAGGAATAATTAAAGAAATTTATCATTCTCAAAAATGAGAAATAATTTTTAAGTTCTGAACAAGTGACGAACGTAGTTTCATTTTGTTTTACTAGATTACTGTAATATGCCCTTTACTGAATTAGGTTTTTCTCCCTTTTTCCTCCTTGATATGCCATATCGAGTTCCTTCAATTCTTCGAGCGCTAACAGAATCATGTTATGATTCCGAGGAACAGTGTAACAGTGTGCTTTTTGACTTCTCCGCAATTAACACACAGGGCTGTGGCATGAATACAACGCTTGATTGATCATAACAAAACGTCGAAGTGAAAGAAGGGATAAGATAACAAACGACGACATGTCGTTCGACAGTAAACACGATGATCAAAAGAAAAATGAGGAGCAAAAGGGAATGATTTTGGACGAGCTTCCAGAAAATCTGATCAGGTTTGATTATCTTTCATTGCTTATCAGCTACTTTTTTTCCTGCACTGTTTAAAAAGTGATATTTATTTGAGGTCATTTATGTCGGAAAAGGCTACGAAAATCCCAGAATTTTTTTATGATAGTTAAGCTATTAATGATTATAGGATTTAACTTTTCTTCTTTATCAACTATTTTTAAATAGTCGCTTATACATCACTGCATCATTAGATGTCCACTGATGCTCAATCTTCAGGTTTATTTTATTCTATTGATTCAGATTTTCTAGCCTGGAAAACATCCGGCTCAGTCTCAAACACCATTAAAGCCTTAATTCTTTTTTAAATGGAAATGAGTAACAAAATTATGTAGATTTATATCATGTGTCAATCTCTAATTACTTATGGTTTTGACTGTCAGATAAGATCGCCTACTCCTACACCAATATTCACTAAGGAAGGAATTTTTTTTCATTTTAATTGCAATATATTCAGCTGAATTATTTTTATCGTTCTATGTATTTGTTTTTTAATTAAAAGTTGAAACAGAGTTAATTTCTTGAATTTGAAATTTTTGAGCAGCTTTTTTTTAAAGGTTTGCATCGTTGATGGTGAAGACATTTTATGGCAAAGAGCATTACGTTGTTTTGGATTATGTGCAAAGGAATAAATGTATCAAGGAAGATGATCTGAGGCAATTGATCAAGTTTGACCAGCGTTTCCTGCGAATAGTAATTTTTTATTTCTTATTAACTGAATTAGTATAGTTTTCATACATGAAACTATGCTTTGAAAATATAATTTTATCTGATTTCGTAAACCTTATTGTTTCATATTTTGCTTGAAATATATTTACATTCATGGTTAATTTCAGATTTTAATGCAACTGAAAGTTGATAAAATTCTAAAAGAACGTCTAGTATCCGAAGAAATGGATGGTCGGACGCGTAAAATTAATTACTATTTTATTAATTACAAGGCACTATTGAATGTGGCAAAATATAAAATTGATCATATGAGGTTTGCTATTTTTCTGAATGGCTCAATCATCATGAAGTATATCGGTTATAATGATAGATGCATTGGTACTTACTTTGTTGTTCATTGCAGTCGATCATTATAATCGCTTGGAAAGAATTAAGAATTTATAGTGCATTGATCATTTGCCTGAAATTTCCTGTAAATTATTCCGATTAAAATTCGCGAAATTACATACAAATATTGGTGAAGCCATTGAATAGCACTGACGTTTTTATAGGCAACGGTTGGAAGTAAAAGATAAGGATGAAGTGCACAAAGCTTCATATCGCTGCACCGGCTGTCAGTATCAGTATGATGCTATGGAAATGGATAAAATTTTTGATCCGGTGACACAAGAGCTTTTTTGTTGGCGGTGTCAACAGATTGTTGAGCCGGATGAAACTGCTGGTCCAACGGATGAAACAAGGCAAATTTCTGTTTG